AAATTTTACCTCCTTCTTCCAATCCAAATGCATAGCAGAACAACATGAATTTTGAGTTCGAGTGCCCAATTGGGTCTAACATTCCTAGAGCACTCACGAATGCCCTCATGGCTTTCCAAGCATTCAAATAAGTTCATCTTACATATGCAAATCTATTCTAGTATTTACCAACCAATTACCAGTCTCCACTTCAAACAAATGAGCCATTCTCAATATACTCGGAATATGAACAACCCGCATCCTCTTCATCCAACCTCTACAAATATTCACGAGCCAATGTGAGCTATCAGTGATATCACGATCCTTTGTCTCAAGTAGCTCCACTATACATAGTTTATATGTTCACCTCCTACTGTCCCGGAGCTTGAATAAAGCCTCCAAATTTTCTGGTAAGCATCCCCGAAACACTCTCCACTCCTCTGAGGATGCTACCAACACCCATACCTAATCTTTTCTAATTTTCACTTTCCTAAAAACCGCATTTCCTGTACAACTAACATTGTCAACCTTGTACACCTCAGGTGTTTGAATGATTGGTATCGGAACCTGCAAACATTTGAACATCTCCACCAATGCTCTAGAACACTCTCATAGCTTCCGGCAAAGCTATGAGAGTATCCCGCATCCTTTGAGTACTCCTTTATCAGGCGATATAATATGGTATGGCTTATTTGCAGTCCATCTGCAATATTGAAAAGTCTTTCTGACTTCATGGAGGGGTTGCAAAGACGCTTTAGAGGCAACTCTCCATCTACTATGGATCATTTATTTCGAGTTTTTTTCCGGTCTTCGATTTTAAAAATCTCAAGCAACTCCTTCAGGTTATCTCGATGGCTCCAAAGGATGTCATATATTCTCTCAGGACATCCAACAATATCTTTCAGATTCAGCATTCGAATCTCTAGCGCTAACCGCCGCCCCCCATAGTCCAGTACCTGAATTGCAGCATCGATTTTGTTGGATGCGCCGTATGTCTCTTTTATCTGACGTACATAGGCGACTTCGCTGATCTAAGTGGAGTACTGGAAAATGCTCCCGAGGCGCTCGATATGTTCCCGATAATGTGATAACATGTGCAATTTGATGAAGTTGAAGTGAGACCTTTCTCGTATCTCGCAAATCTCCTCTGAGCCTCGCTGAGCACTCTGGGAGCCTGAAGCGTTTAAACCTTTTGTATGATTTCTCGCATCTTTAACTTTCCTCCTGTATGTACAGAATTCTAAAATGATATTCTTGTGCTTGTGGAAATCCTCGAGATAGCTCTCTATATAATTTAGTGTGCTCGTCGTATGACTTCCATACTGCGCCATTAAGTGGAAGTCGATTAAGCCTCGTACACATTTCAATGCCTTTGCGAAGTCGCCCCTGACAGCCATCTCCGGGTTTCTCAAAGCAGTCGCGAATGCTACAAGAACGATCCGCCCCAGATTTCTCATCTCCTTCTTTTGCCATCTGGTTGTAGCACGATATGCCTTGTTCGGTACTACCAGTCCAGCTTAAGGCACAATCGAGGCCCAAGCTTTATCAAATTGCTCCAATCGATTGTGCTTCTTCAAGAAAGCCTGAACCCACTCCATTATGTTCTTCACCATCTCTATGTATATATTGTGCAGAATGTCCGGTTTGTTGAGATGATATGGATTAACCCTCAGCATACCTTAGAAAGCATTGAAGAGTGTCTTCTCTGATCTCGCGACAAGGTATTCCACCGATCCCATGTTTTCTGAGTTCTCCCTGAATAGCTTTATGCTCTCCCGATTATCTTCGTGATCATGCATGTGGCTCCGCCGAGTACTCCCAAAACTATTGAATTCCACCTCGCATCTTTGACAAGAACTAGTACTAATATTTTGTAAGTTTGCATGCTCAGGTTGATCAGTGATCCAACCCGACAAACCGGAAAATATAGACGTTCGTACCCGTCGGCGCATGCAATCACCTCTTCTTCCTGAGAGCACTCCTAGATGTTCTGAAAAATCTCTACAAGGGTGCAATGCAGCGCCATTTGACTCTGACATGTTGAAGCAGAATTAGCGAGTGGGTTATTCCGGAGCTTAGGTAGAACTGGCAGTATCCATAGGAGAATTAATGAATGTCCGGTGGGCTTGCTCTGGACCGATGACTTGATGTCTCCAATGGTAAGATAAATTAGCCAGGCTTTCTTGTTCCCATTAAAATTTGTCAAATGTCTGCCATCTGACGTGCATATAATTGGTACCACAGTCGACATCTTTGGTAAGGTATTCTGTCCAGAAAGCATTAGCAAGTGCTCATAGAGCAGTTGTGAGTCTTACCGGACCTGCATCTTCCATCATCAATCTCCTGTATGCATTTCCCTATATATTCTCTCACTAGATTCTTTATGCTCTACCACTGATACGTACACCAATAACTTCCGAAATGCCTGTTGGCACAGAAGATATCGCACAATTACCATTGGACTCCGGTAATAGTAAAGAATTTTCTCTCCCCCAATATCCACCTCCGACTAATGCCAGCTCGCCTTTCCTAATATGTCACTCATTTCCTCCAAACTCTTTATACAACTTCACTCAGTCCTGTAGGAGCATTCACCACTGCTTGACGGAGCGTGTAGAAAGAAACTATCGATATTTCCTTGTGAGACATTCGATAGTATTAAATAACGTGCAATTGTAAATTCATATGCTGAGTTGAATGGGAGCCACAGGTGTTGGAGAAGGTTTTGTGAGCATTCATTATAGTTCTCTGAACGGTAGAAATGCTCCCCAGTACCTCCATAAATCGTTGTCACAGCCTCATGCCTATTTCCATCTCTATCTGCCTCTTCCATCAAAAAAGATGATTCGGATTCCAGATCTCAATTATTATCGGGATCTTGGCCATGATACTTGATACTATTGCTCTCCAAGCTCCTTGAATCGTCATGGGCATCTGAATAGGAATGGTGAATGCCTTCTGGGCTGTCGTGAGTGTCATCGGGTATCTCTTGATCGCGCTCCAGGAGTAAAAACTGGTTTCTCAGCCATTCATCTTCTTTAAATGGATTTGTAGTTCGAAGATGTTCATCGAAGTTCGCGGAGGAGCTGTACCGCTTGCTGCAAAAAGGGCAAGCCGATTTCATTGAAGTCTCACGATACTACTAAAGCACTCCCGAGTGCTCTGAACATTTGTTTTCTGACAAGGCCGAGGAAGCTCTTTCCTGCGGGTACAGCTGCAGAGTGCTCGAATGATTTGATTTGTCAGCCAATGACGCTCTGACCTGCACCCCGTTGGCAATATTGACTTTCAATAGGAGTCTGATTCCATACATCAACTCAATACAAATACAAACTCCAACACGAAGAAACACCCACCACCCGACTCAGGCGGGCAGTTAAGCTAGATTCTATTGCCCTGAACATCTGCACTCTCTCCCTGAATACTCATGGAGTCTCTTGAGATCTAGACAGTGTTCTCAGCGCCAAATTCAACACTAATATCTACTACGAGCTCAAGGAATACATTCTCTCTGAACCAGCTTCCTAGCGGACAGAGCACCAACAATAAGAAGAAAAAATAACCAACCCCAATACCAGAATATTATCAACATCACCATTGGTACCATCCGAGTATCCCTGAGTGCCCCTGGAGCATTTAGATTATCAACGTCATATATTGAAGCAAACATTGAGTACGAGCACCCTCAAGTACTTCTAGAGCATTCATGGGTGCTCTCAGAAGCGTGATAAGCTCAAGAAAAAAGCTGATCGTACTCGGTATAAGAGCACCTGTCCCTTTCTTCAAGTTCGCGAGAAGTTCGTAACCATCTTCAAGTTCTCCTCTAGTTATCAGTTCAAGTTCTCCATTGCTTTCAACATTACCTGTTGAAATCTCATTCTTCATGTTCCTTCGTTTTCAAATGATTCAACCTTTGCAATCCTTATCAATAAGATGGTATTTCTCTCTCCTGATATAATTAATTTCAGAACTATACTCACAACAGTGATATATTAACATTATCAGACTCCAAACACCACTCAGAGTACTCCTGGTGGCTACAAGAACACATATCAACTTCTCAATAAGAAGCACCTACATGATATAAACGAACACGATAATGAAAAGACTCACCGAAAAACCAAGAAATACAAATCGTCACAAAAACATAAGAAAGACCAAAGGTGGTCAGGTTGCAAATCATCTCGCAAAACTGCGAAGCCTATCCCGGAGGAGATACCAGAAACATACTCGAGTCAGTTACCAGTGCTTTCCGGGTTAACCTCGATCAACAAGAGCCGGAATCAAAACACTATGCCTCCACCAATCTGGACTGAACCCCGGACTCCACCAAATACTAACCTAGCTCTATCGGACACTGAAGAGATTTTTTCCAGAGTAATTGGGGAGCAATCCTAACTGATTCCGACTCCTTTCCCGACTTTGGGTCCGAACTCTCTTCACCATGCATGAGTGACGATCAAGACCCAAAAACTGTCCCAGCAATAGGCCCAGCAACAGGTCGACCAGCAGCAGTCTCCACTGGTTCTTCAGAATTGTCCACTGCTTCTTCCTCAACATGCATCAGTACTTCCCGAGAAGTCTTTGTTCAGAAAACCGTACTTAGGGTTAGTGCTACCCCATAACCACCTGCTAGTGCTCCACGAAAGAACGTTGCCCGGAAGACAATAGTCTCAGGTAAAGTTCTCACTCGATCCAAGTCTAGTGCAGTCTGCTCAATAGGTATAGCAGCGACTGGCCCAGCAACGGGCCAACCAGCAGGCTCTATGAGTCCCTGACCAGCACCCGTCAATACTTTACTGAAGGCTCTTGCACTGGAGACCCCTAAATTCAAGCCCCGATGCCTCTCTCAGTTATTTTCTGATGCAAGCTCATCCGAACTACTGGACTACCCCTAACTAGTCTGACAGAGATGAATTAGACCCGAGCTCTCGCCGATTGTTTAATAGACATCCCCGAATGTTCAAAAAATATCCTCAAGCTTGAGGGCATGCAAAATAACTCAAGCAAGCAAAACGAAGATGACTTTCAGTCTACTCAACCTACCTAAAGTGTACACCAGCATCTACAATGGCCTAAAGGTGGAAATTCAAAATGTAGGTTGAGTCAATAAAAACACCTCCAGATTGCCTGCATTTAATTCCCTATGCCTTTACTTGATGAACCTGCCCTCCCTCAATAGTTCTCTGCCAATTTAGACTGAGCGTGACTCTGATACCCAAAGAGTACTAGCAAATGCTCTACAGTGGCTCATATTGGATGTTGATATGAAGGATAAGTTATCAAGAGGACAGGGAGACTGTCAGTTCAAAAAGCCTTCCGGTGATAGTGATGATAATGATGACGGCGGTGATCAGGCAGTCTGGAGGCACTCTTCCAAAGGGAAAGAACATGCAGTACCGCCAAACTTGTACAACCTTCCATAATAGTTACCATTGTAGACCCCGATGCTCTCAGTATATTCTTTATCCTTGTTCCACAACCTACTTATGACTGGAATGATCCCTTGAACGAACCTCCATTCATCGGAATTTGGACAAAGAAAACTTTCCCCGAGCTATGCAACTTGATCCTGAAGTACAATGCACCCGGCAAAGCAGTCAGAACTATGTGGGAGGCAATTGGGAATATCCCTCCAGTAGCTGTTCCTCCCGTTCAGCCGGTGGAGGTACCAATTACTGATTCAGAGAAGCTCGATGGTTGGTTCAAGAACAGCAGTGCCAGACCTTGGAGGATATTAGCAGTCCTCTACAGAGCAGGTACAAGCGCTAACCTTGGTGATATGGAATTCCCCTTATTGAACCCGACTTTCCTTCATATTGACTAAAATGATTATAGCATGATCGATAGTCCTACAGAGGATTCGGATTACGAGAAGGGAAATCACTAGATAAATGCTAAAGTACTGAGGCTATATATGCCTAGAACTGATGCCGGTAATCAAACACTAATTCAGACTCTGGTTAGGCATCTCGATAGACAGCAGGATGCTATCGACGATTTAGACCCCAAATACTTTAGGAAGTATACTTTGGGTCTCGGGGTTGCTCACCCAAATTTCTTACAGGGAACGATCTGGACACCTCCCAGGATAACAGCCAAGAGAGCTGCTGATGCACTCAGGGCTGCTGTTGCTGGAGGTGGTAGAGGTAGTGGTGGTGGTCGAAGTGGTGGGCCAACTGGAGGCGGTGAAGATAGTGGTGGTGGTGATGGCAACGGAAATCATTAGTTTCCTTTGGTATAATTTCTGATTTCCCTTCCTACGAAATTGACAGTAACCTTTTAATAGTTGTTAGAATTACTCTCTGAGTACTCACAATAGCTGAGGTTCGGTATGATTTGGTGTTTTGAATTTCCATTTGTCTTGCGAGAGTATATCAATAGATCGGTGATAACGGGTAAAATTAAATTAGATTAGATTAGATTAGTCCAGGTAGTAATTGCATTTCTTTTATTTCAAAGTCGAATCAAACTCCTAGATTTATCTAAAAGTAGTCGGTACCATTTCAAAAAGTGCACTAAACAAGTTATGATAAATGATGTGGTTGAGTGCGGAAATAACAGTAACACTGGATGATCCCTACCCTATGAAGATTAGCGGCGCAAATTTTCTCGCCAAGAATTGATTTCTAATTGAGATATCGCGAGTGCTCCTAGAGCACTATGGATATTCCTATCAGTCATCAGAATAGCTCCCACCAAGTACTCCTCCAGTACAGTACTCCCTCCACAAAAGCTCCTACTACTCCCAATATGACCTGAAGAAGATTGAGAGACTGATGAATCTGAGATATCTTATCGACCTTTGACTCCACTGCCAGCCTGCAATCGCAGTAGTCAATCGACTACTGCCACCCAATTAATTTGGAAAGGTCTTCTCCGTTCTTCCGAAGCCCTCAATAGGAGCAGCAGTCCTCGGAGGGTAGAATTTCATCTCTCTGAGGATCATACTGACAATTTTAAAGCGCAGAGGGAGCCTGAGGCAATTGAGGTGCCTGAGTTGGAAGAAATAGTTGATACTAGCTACTCATACTATGATGATGCTCCGGAGAATAACCACGAGAGATCTGAGGAGGATGAAGATGAACCGGAGGATGAACCTCAAGCCCTCCCCCTATATTTTACCCAAAGATCTCAGACTGTTGGAAATAGACCTCATACAGTTCAACCAACCACTGTTAGAGAACTTGGCAATGCTCGGAGAAAATCAACTGGTGCGGTAGCAGAGGTCATTGCTTCTTCCGACACATCGGTGGATGTGATACAGGTTCGACTCTATCTCGCTCATTGATGCTTTTAACATGTAAGTATTAGTAGCTAACGATTCAGAGGGGAACTCGACAAGGAGTGAAAGTAATATGTAAACAAGGGAGAACAGCATCTATTTCAGCGCCTAGCCAGAATGCATCTCAGGTAGTACTCTCGGTATCCAAGAGAGGACCCCCAAGACCCTCACAGTCTAGGAACTCTGCACCTGTTTATCCTCATGAGTATACCTCTTCTATGCGCCATATCGATTTTTCCTCGACGCGCTCCAATATGGGGAGTCGTCCCCCCCTTACCGGACATATCTTTCTTCCCCACTTAGGAAGGTAATTGGCGAGCACTTTGTGAGCAGTAGTCAGATTCATTCAAGTCAAATTCACAGTCAAGGTCGATTACAAAGAGTCTACAAAATCAAGTACCTTCCCTCAAATAGGCAGGAGAACGAGAGTACTGCGATGCCAGAAAGCGACAGCATTTTGATTCCGAGAAGCAAGGTTAGTATTCCAGAGTACACTCATGAAATCTTTGTGAACACTGGCAATATTCCTTCGAGTCAATTGATGCAGAGATTAGTACTCCCTGGCTCTAGTAGTGTAAATGTGCTGTCAGTGTAGGCTCAGAGTATTGAGAAGCAGTGTAGCATTTTAATCGGAGAGCATACTCTTCTATATGGGCCTTTCTATCTGCAGCAAGACTTTCAGTACTGGTAGTGTTCATGTAGGCAACTGCAAGTTGCCGAGTGGGGTGTAGAGTAGACCTTGATGAGGTCATTATTGATATTATTGTCACTAAAGGGATTACGAATACTCTGGAAGCATAATGATTGAGAATAATAGGCCCGAGGTCTAGACTTCCGTGTCCATTCCCGCGTGATGCACGAGTTGTAAGGATGCCTGGCGGACTATACGATATCTGGGCTTAGAAATCTTGTGGGGCCTGAGGCAAGGGAGGCTCAGTTGGAATACCTTTTGAAGAATAATTGTTTCTTGAGGCCAAAAGAGTATTACGAGTTATGATGGATGCTAAATGAGCACTTGGGATAGCCGCTGGCAGATTCTATATCAACCGACTGCACTTCCTGGCTCCGGAAATTATCGATATATTTTCATTGATCAATTTGGGAATGTACTAGGTTACGAGCAGTTGGATTAGTCAGAAAGGTTCTATTGGGTTCTACCGGGTTCCGTTGATCGTTAATGTATGACTCATTTGGGATTTGTCATCGCTGAGATTTCCTTGGTTATATTAGGGGGGTTTGTTCTTATTTCTTGTTCTTTTCTCTTTCTTTCTTTCCTTACGCAACGTCTTCTGTATCTACGCTGTCTATTACTCTACGCTGTCTATTACTCTACAATATTATTATCTTCTTCTTTACTCGAGAAGACCACCGCTTCACTGCCCCTAGTCCCGTTGACCCTTACCGACGCTAGAGTCCCTTAGGATCCCTATTGCGAGTTTCCACACCGATCTCTACTACACCCTTCGTACCCTGTCGAATATTCGCTACTCACCCCCTTGAGATATATTGTATTTTAAATACTTCGATGAGGTAAGAATGTGAGGGGTTAGGGATCTCGAATTTCTAGAGCGGATAACCCTACCCTTATTTGCCTGACATCGATAGTGATCTGGCGTGGCATTTGGGCGTGATCAACAGGGAATTACTTGAAGCCTAATAATTTTCAGTAGCAAGATGATAGTGTTGTGAGTAAGTATGGTCAGATTCGCTCATTGATATGGCGAGTGTCTTGAGAGGAATGATGGATGCTCCTACGACTGTACGGGATTGCCGAGTTGACATGCAAACTCGAGTAGAAACGTTCAACAGGATGAGCAACACTTGGAAGGGGAGATGTAAACGGAACCAAGAGGCAACCTTAAAGGTAATTAAAGATAACCTTCAAGAGAAGGTATGATACTTCTAGATACCGGTAATGCGAGTGGTATTCCAAATGCTAACCTTAATAGATACGAGATAAAAAGGGGGTAACTATTGAGATGATACCGGAGAAGGGTTTTAGTGAGGACGATAAAGATCTGGCTGCAGATCTTGCCTCATTCCGAAATTTTCGGAGAATACCCACAAGTGCTCCATGAGGTCAAGTTGGTTCGACAACACCCAAGACGAAGTGATTATTGCCCAACTTTGCTGCATTGACCCCGAAGCGGAGGGGGATGGGGGAGAAGAGAAGCCGAATTTACCTGTAGTGGGGGATTATGAAAGGGCGGGGGAGCAGGTTGTGTAGAACAATTGCGAGTGCTACGCAAGATAGTGGGGAATTTGTTCTCTTCCGCATATTATATTAGAATTAGTTAAGGTATTAAATTGCGTATTGTATTTAGTATTAGCCAGAGTATCAGGGTGTTGTGTAACGGGGGTCTCTTCTAAGAGAAAATAGAATAAGATAGAATAGAGACGGCCATGCAAGATAAACAATCAGGTTGGAGATTATTCAAAGATACTATCGTTAGAACTCAATAATCTTTAAGGGCTCTGCTACCGATAAGAACTTGATATTTCTTTCTAATGAAGACTGGAGAGAATAGGACTGAAGGGCGAGAATGAGCCTGAGTACTTATACTCCAAAGGCCTCTATTCTCTGCTCTTAGCTTCCTTACTAAATTCTGGTGAAGCCTTTCTTCGGTCCGGAAACAATATCACCGCTACCCCGCTTTTCTCTAACCGTCAGCATGTATTTCCGATGCCCAAGGTGACCACCCTTAGTCAAAGCCTTTGTAACACCTGCAGCCTTGGTTGCCTCACAACCGGGGCCTGCCTGAATGATCTGCCGCTCAGATGTAAGCTCAATCATTGCTGTAGAGCTTTCGCTTATTGTAGACTTCCATAGCATAGTCCCTGCCCTTCAGTGGACTTACAATGCTCGGAGGATACAGGGGATCACCAGGCAATTAGAGCTTCACTCTGGCCGGCCTTCCAATCACTGGCGAGATATAGACTCGTCAGTCATTTCTCCTATGAATAGATCCCCTTCCTAGCGCTCGGAATGTACTTACTCTAACAGCTGGTAGCTAACCACACTGCCGGTACTTGCATTTCACCTTACAACTGGCTTTTAACAATAACTCTCAACATGTAACCGGACCCTGTATGTACTCATACACCATACAGTTGAAATGGCACCATTATATGTTGAATTCACCAATTCTATAGTGTAGTCGCGAGTGCTCTGGGCGCATTAGAGATCGTCGTACGAGTGATGTTTTGGTAATCGTTATGTCGGGCATGATTCAGGTTTCAAAGCACCCGATCAGGCAACCTCAGGAACGGTAATGGCAATCATTCTATCCCCAGGCCTGCTGGAGCAGTGAGGATATACTAGTGAGCAGCCAGTGTTCTCTGGTGACTGGACTGACCTCCGGGTTATGCCAAGTGCTAGGATTTGATGTCGGTGTATGTTGGACGGACTGGTGTATGCTGGGGCAGACAATCGTATGCCAGAACTCATCAGGATCGCTTGCTGTATCTCTGGAGAGTTAGTTTACCTACCGAGTGCCCTGAACGCCCTGAGCACCCTGGGCATCTGGCGAAGGCTGCAGGTTTGATTCTCAACAAAGTTCCAAATGTCATCATCTGGCCATAATGGTTAAGAGATAAGCTTGTATAACAGGGAGATCTATTTGTTGAAGTAATCTCGAAGGATGATAGGTTCACTCACATTTTACCTTTGCCGATGGATATGAGTGATGTATTTTGATGCTGATTCTGGATTGCAGTCTAGGAATCTTGACATCCAGTTACGGCCTATGTATGCTGACTTGGAGGTGGGGTGAAGTCCATTTTCATTGGCAATATTCTAGGCTAAAGCGATTTCCACACCCCGCAACAGGTCAACCCTAGTAGGGATCCCTGCATCATTCATATCTTCACACCATTTTCTGAGCACCTTTTCTATAGTTGGAGCTTGCTTCTGCTGTCCCTGATGAGTGTCATATTGGTTTTTCTAACCGTTAAATCTATCAATTAGGGTGGAGGTTGGTATCCCGTATTCAAGAGATAAAACAGACCAAGGTGTATTAAATTCCACCCTCTGCACTAGTGCACAACAAATATGGTCTTTGCTCTCTGCCTGGCTCAATGCTCCTGCTCGTGGCTTCACCTTGCTCATCTCGGTTCGAAGATTGGTCGAGAACTGGAGGAGTAGTAGAAGTTTCTAGTGGCCTACGTGAGTTGCACCCGTGAGCCAATTGCTTTTGAAATGATGCGCTGACTCATGCGACTTCACAGTGGTGTCCGACATCTCCATTGGATACGTTAAAGCTAGTCGTTACAGTGATGCGAGAGGGGGATTGAAGATTGTTCGCTGTGCTGTCACTCCTCCCCATGCGCTCCACGCTTTCCTTTTCTACCTATCTTCTTTCCTTCTTTTTTGCAGTTCTCTGTATCACTAAGGGAATATGACTTTTCAGAGAGGAATAATCTTGACAAGTAAAACTAGACAAGATCTAGAACGAGCTATTCGAATTAGATGCATACCTTAAGTTTCTCGACACCATTAGCCTCGATGGGCCAGCCCGGGCTGGAAAATAGGGTTGGCCTAGCCCGGCCCGTGCTATCAAGATTAGGGCTAAATATATAGCCCGGGATCGCATGACTAATGGTGTTCCTCCATACGAGGTATCACGAACTGGGTGTTCGTCTGCTTGGAATAATGTCTTCGTTCACTGGAACTAAATAATGTCGAACAAGCTGCAGTTTCCCCGGTTGTAACGGTAAGCAATATGGAAAGGTGTGTGAAATACATTGAATTTATCCTTCAAATCGCTAATAATATTGTATGAACTACTTAGAGCCCAAGTCTACCTATTTACCCCGGGCTAAATTTGTCTCTCGCCCGGCCCGACCCCTCAAACAAAACCTATGACCTGGCCCGGCCCGTCGAAAAATAGCCCGGGCTCCCAGTCTTAAACCCCGGCCCATTGACGCACCTGCTCGATACCTAGGGCGATAGGAACACGCACGAGGATAACAGGTTAGCAGTATAGGCTTATATTACCTTAGCGGTGGATGTGTCAATTGAAGGCATGAAGAAATAACTGAAAGTGTTATTTCACGTTGTGTGGACTAGTGCGTAGCATGTCATGAACATTCAAAGCGTATCTCAGCTCTAAATTCGCCGTCTCTAATTTCTTAGCCAAGGGCAGAGAGAAGTTCAAACCCATTCAATGAACCGCCCGCCAGAAATATTATAAATGTTTATCTTCACCCTTGGCCTCTCTTCTCTTCTCTCCCCACGAGTACTTAACATCATTAAAAACACCACGTTCCTTATAAATCAACGTCCTCAAATCACCGCAACCATGCGCACCTTCACTCCCCTCACCACTATGCTCGCTCTCCTCCTTCTCACCGCCTCCGCTACTGCCCAATGGGTCAGCCACCCACAAACCGTCTGCTCTTTCGAGAACACCGTCCCTATCGCCGATATCGAACCATTCCTCTCCCAGTATGACTTTTATATCGACTGCTACGCCAGACGCCACAGCCTTCCACCCACCGGCAACAGCTGCACAAAGCTCTGGACAAACGGGAAGGAGCCCAACCTCAAGATCGCGATCCGCGTCTGCCCTCAAGAAACGAAGGACCCGCTTACCTGGCGCGATGGCGTCGGATATGGTTGTCTCGAGGTTGCTAATGTAGTAAGGAAATTGGTGGCCGAGTGTGGGAGGGATGGCAGGGTCGCTGGAAAGGCGAACCTTGGTCCCTGGGGACGGGGTTATGTCGAGGTTAGAAAGAAGGATTGGTTGATGGCCTTGCTCGATCTGATTGGGTAGTCAAAAATAAATTTATCCTATCTTTTCTCTTAAACCTTTGTTGAGCTATAAAGTGACACCTTGAAAGTGGCATTTCCAGCTTTGTGACGTCTTCCTAATGGGGTAAACTGTATGAGCGAGGAAAGGGTGAGATTGCTCTGAAAGGCCCTAATAGCAATCGAGAGGATGACTACCTTTATAAATGCGGTCCAGGCGGGAAACGTGTAAATTGTAACCCTGTTTTAAGAATGGAAGCCCGAGAGATATTGAATATATAGAATAGTCCTCTTGAATATTAATATATTCCCATCAAAGGATAAAGATTTACAATCTAGTCCGAGTCCCCAAAGGGAACTAGAACCAAAACCAATCATCTACTCCACCAGTCTGTCAACAATAAGGAGTGGCCCAACCTGCTATCCACCACTCTACGGTTGTCTGTATCGGGTCTTTCCTAATTGTAACCGTAAACTCTCTCATATATCACCTTCCCCATCTTGCGGGCGACGGGCGAAGGATAAAGTGTGATCTAAGTTCGGAATGCAGATATTGACGCATAGTGAAAGCAGGGTACCCTGTCTCGCCGATAGAGCGCTTTTCGCCATGTTTCGCTAAATCTACGAGGGAAGGTCTATCGAGAATTACAGCGGTGAACTCAGTACTAGGTACAAGAGTTTCAGAGTTCCATTGGTGGGGATCGCTCCGCAGACGTTGAAACCCTCCTTCTCTGCGAGCATCTATCATGATTTTGGGTGGACTTGAATAGTTTCAGCTGTCTAGACATCGAGGTCAGGTTGGCGGGCTAATAAGCATGGGTCGTTCTAACGTCCGTGTTATATCGCATTAATCATGCAGTCGCCACGCGCACATCAGGTCATAGAACAGCTAGGTCTCACTTGGGCGTTGCCCCAGCAACCAACAGGCCCGATTACTCTAATGACCACCAAAACATGTAGGTACATATTGAGTTCCGTGAGTACTAGATTGGTTACTTGATAATGATCGATCGGTTTATAAAGCGAAAATTAGACGTAACGATGACTCTTCGCACTGTATCCACAGCCCCAAGTAATTATACCCGAGCATTTGAACCGGATGAACTGGTGGTCCGATGCTGGAGGTATAATTGAGAGCATGATATAAGCATGTAACACAATGATAAAGATATATATGGGGAGTAGAAAGATAGGTAATATAGGTACTACATTCAATGGGTTAACGGCACCCGCATTCCGGTCTATAGGCTAAGAATAACTAGAACAGTAATTATGCGCAATAGTCATCAGGCTTAGGGTAGAAGGCCCCCAAAGAAATTACTCTGAATATATAAGATCAGGAAAATGTATTGTTTTCATTAACAATCGCAGTGCTATGCGCTACGCTAGACTAGACTCGATCGACCACAACCTAATAGTTCATCTTATCACGTAAGCCATTAATCATATTGTGAAGAGTCATGGGATAATGACCTTTAATTGAACGCAGTCTTAGTGCCGGCGCAGTAATCAATTAAATCTACCAAACATGTCAATGACCAAGTTCGCAGGCGTTGTTCTCATATCTCTCGTGCGCGAGTTGAATGGCTAACAATTCGACCGAGCTTCGTGGATGCGTTAAGGCACGTGGTTATCGGGAACTACACCCCGTGGAGAGTCCTTGTATTCCTTTGCTTTGCCACGGTACGATAGGATGAAACATGCCAAGCACTGGGAACTCTTCTATCTCAGCCCGTCCTACTACTATTGTTCTTAATAAAATGGCAGAGGGATTTATGGGTTGTAAGTATAAGATTGCTTTACCGATATGTGAATGTCTAAGGGTAAACTATCCCCTGTAGCCCCCCGTTGATCTTCGTCCTACGAATCTTAATGCACTGGCTTAGCCCTGAGTTGCATCGACTATCACGAAGCACTAGATGCCTTGACGTGTGGACTATTTCGATCATTCACCTTCGATATAGCGGAAACGAGTAAATTTAGGACCTTTTACTACCCTTACGGGGTAGAAATATAGGTTCGGCCAATGATATCGTAATAGACCCAGGTATTACACTAAATAAAGCCATCACACTACTTCTATCCCGTGCCTAGTCAGTCATCCAATCGGCGGCACTTTAATTTATTGTTTGCAGTCGTTGTGCAATAAGTCGTCCCAGACATTTACTCGCAGCATGAGGCACACTTTTGTGAAGGACAGTGAGTGACGAGAGGATGCAGTTAACAAAGTGAGAATGGCCAGAGTGGAAGAGATATTTAGAGTCTATCAAAGAGTCGAGCGGCAACTAGATCACTTGTCATCCTTGATGTATTGGGGTACTCAACAGGTTGCTCACGGAATTCACGGTACTGGTCGACTTGGCCAAGAGGAGGCATGTAAAAGTAGGCTGAGAAGGTAATATTTTAAAGTATTGCGGGTTTCCACGAGTAAGCGTACACTGACATCGCAACGCGCCGCCCCCACGAACACCTCAACGAAAAGCACATTTACGATGCCAGCCCAACGTAGCCAAAGAGTGAAGTTAAGAAAAAGTCCTAGACATAATCCTATACCAACAGCCCATCTCACACCCTATCAGAGAGGTCAAATTAAGGGCATGCGAACTCAGGGTGCACCCTTAAGAGAGATTTCTCACAATCTTTCTATCCCACTGTCCACTGTAGCCGCAAACCACAACGCGCATTCTGGGAGAAAGGATGGAAAGGACCTACCGAGGCAGGGAGCTCCTAGGAAGACCTCATCAAACAAGATGCTCAAATTTTGGACTCAGCGCTCAGTAACCGTGAACAAACTCACGAAGACATACGCGATGCGATCGCGCCAAGTGTTTCGATCACGACTGTGCGACGTTGCCTACTTGAAACAAAGCTACAAAAGTGGCAGAAAAAAGAGAGAACTCACCTAGATGATGAAGTTGCCAGTTTGAGACTAGATTGGGCATTGGAGCACTGGAATTGGACCAAATCAATGTGGAAAAATAGGTGTATGTGGGGGGACGAGGTCACGGTAGAGAGGTGGGGAGGGAAATAATGAAAATGGATTTTCCGATACCCTCGAGAGAAGTGGTTGAAGGATAATATAGAGCCTCTAGCAAGGATGAGTGAGCGCAGTCAGTCAGATGATGACTGGCTATTTTATGGGGCGGAAATATGGGTGGTTCTTACCTGTGTATCCTGATCTAGAGTCTCGTGGGGGAGGCGTTACTTCTAGAAGTCTCATCACTGTCATGGAGGCATATTATCTAGATATTTGGCACGAGATTAAAAGAGAGAATGGAGGAGAGGAGGTCTATCTTATTATTGATAATGCAAAGACACATTTACCACTTAAGAGGTGGCTCCAGGACAGAGGGATTTCCCTTAAATCTATACCCCCCTACTCTCCAGATCTCAACCCTATCGAGCATATTTGGGCTCTAATAAAGGGTAGATTGGATAAAGTGTAACCCAGGCTCTATGAGTCAGAAGGGCGAGATGTAAAAAAGAGAATTGCGGATGCTATCACACATTGTTGGGAATTGTTAAAACTTGAGGTCTTTGAGTCCTTGGCAGAATCAATGGTTCATCGGGTTCAGGCAGTAATTGATGCTGAAGGATGGTATACCAAGTATTAATGTACATTAATTTTCACTATCAAAGTATTCTCCTACATTTAGAGTGCCGTTGGTTGCTCCAATTACCATCCATGTCGAGGGCGCAGACGGCGTTGCCACGTCAATGACCAGTGTACGCTTACATGTGGAACCCCGCAATATATGTTGGACCGTGTAAACTTTATGAGTCTGTATCAAAGTAAATTCGTAAGTCTTGAATGTGACACCGTGAAAAAATTGGTAACTCACCGCATATATCCAGGGATTGACAATCGAATTCTCCTGCCATCTTTAGATTATGGTTGAGTGCTCATCCAGAAAACAAATCTTTTCTTTTACACCAAACACAACGATCATGCTTATGAAAGATTGTTCAAATAACTTATGAGTGCAATTACTGCCCGGCCTTTGAAATTGAGGGTGAAAATACCTTGCTTATATATTGTAACCCCGGGCCATGGGTAACCGTTTCACCCTGCTTGAGCCCGTTGGTGAACCTTACTAGCATCAGTGAATGTCTACATCAACACGAAATAAATGTTGATTTCTAATATATGCAATACAACTGCAATCACCATAGAGGAGTTATTACTTTGCGTAGCGCCAGCAGAGTAGCCACATACACATATCGGGAAGATGGTGGCTATGCTCTGATCCAGTCGGTGACGGCCCTTCTCTAGAGACATCTCTGGAGAGTACGTACCAGTCAAGGATGTCCAGGAGTGGTATAAACCATTCGTGACAGGTATGAGTCTGTTACTGGTATGCGCTATCTATTCCAGTGGAGGAGGTCAATGATTGGTATGTACAGTACCATCATAGTTGATCACTCCAATAGGAGACATTACTAGCAACGAGGTAGCAGGGGTAACCCTAGTGAGGCATGCACTAAATAAAGTTGAAGCCTACATTTAACATATACTTCTGGGAAACCAAACCGGCTATTGCTACCTAATGTAGTAGTATAAAGATTTGATATATGGCGGAATGTCTGTGGTTCAATTCCGACCCGTTATTGGTCAGAGGCATACGATATACAGTCATTTCCCAAAAGACTTGGCACCTCGAATCACCTTCACTGATATTAGCAAGATACAGATTCCACAACAACAACGAATAGAATAGAAAAACTAAAGTAGAGAGATGAATTTATATAGTTGAGTTACTATTACCATTTGGCACGGCTTCCATTGGCAGCGATACAGGCTTCAATTCTCTCAAGGGGGTGAGTAGCGGGTATTCCGCAGGGTACGAAGAGTGTAATAGGGGACGGTAGGGGAGCTCGAAACAGGGAGGCTACGGAGCTCGTAGCGTTGGTAAGGTTCGACAAGACGAGGAGAAAGCGCGGCGGTGGTCTTCTTAAGGAAAGAAGAGGACGATGATATTATATAGTAATAGACAGCGTAGATACAGAAGACGTTGCGTAAAGAAAGAAGAAGAAGAAGACAAAAATACAAACAAAACCCCCCTTAATATACTCAAGGAAACCCCAACGATGACAAATCCAACCTGACTCATACATTAACAATCAACGGAACCCGATAGAACCCAATAGAACCTTTCTGACTAATCCAACTCTTCGTAACCCCGTACCTCCACTAGTCGATCCATGAAAGTAGCCCCTCCCTTCAAGCGCGAGCTCCTGCGAGCCTTAACCTTAATCTTTCCTTCCAATGGTCCAGGTTTGTCGGGGTAGCGTATGTGGAAGGTATCAACGGCGGCGGTATTATCGTGGTATGCGGCGGGTTCCCAAGTAGGGTCGGTATAGCCCGTCCACTTAACAAAGTATTGCAGGCCAGTGTTTCGTAATTCTCGCGAATCCAAGATTTCCTCAACTGCATACTCCTCCTCTTGTTCGACGATAATGGGTGGGGGTGGTGGTTGAATTTGTCCTGGGACGGGATCATTCGCAGCGGGGTCTAACAATGATACATGGAAGACGGGGTGCATCTTCATACTTCTAGGCAGGTCGACTCGATACGCGTATGACGATATAATTTCCTTAACGGGGAACGGTCCCAGTTTCTTCCAGTCCAGCTTCCGGGAGTTACGCGTCGTTCGGATGTTTTTCGCTGAAACAAACACCATATCACCGACATCGTACCGTGGGGCCGGCGTTCGTTTAGTATTGACGGCCTGCTCCTGTTGATCCTGCGCTGTGCGGATATTGGAACGTAGGTGCTCATGGAGTTCCTTCATCTTCGAGGCGAAGTCTTTAGCATTGAGACTCGGCGGGGTCTTGTCAAGCGATTTGATCGTCACTGTAAACCGGGGGTGGAACCCATAGTTCGCGAAGAATGGTGTAGCTTTAGTGGATGCGGAGACCTGATTGTTGGCGGAGAATTCTGCCATAGGAAGCCATTTTACCCAATCGTCCTGTTGATAAGAGACATACCCACGTAGATATTGCTCCATCACAGCATTCAGCCTTTCGGTTTGGCCGTCGGTTTCCGGGTGGAAGGCGGTGGACATCCTTGCCTCGATATTGAGGTGTTTACAAAGAGCCTTCCAAAACTTAGCTGTAAATTGCGTACCGCGGTCGGAGGTGATATGTGTGGGTAGCCCGTGGAGCTTCCATATGTTCCGCAGGTATAGTCGGGCTACGTCTTCGGAGTTGACAGTAGTATTGCAGGGCAGGAGATGTCGCATCTTTGTTAGCCGGTCAACCACTACCATAATTGCATCGTACCCTTCACTTTCCGGTAGGCCAGTAACGAAGTCCATCGATACCTCCTGCCATGGTTGTTCGGGAATCGGTAAAGGTCGAAGTACGCCGAGTTTTCCATGGGTGTTGGGTTTGCTTCGTTGACAGGTGTGGCAGTTCCGAACGTAGCGGGCAATATAATTTCGCATGAGGGGCCAGTAGTAGTCCCGACTGACGAGTTCGAATGTTTTTTCGCGTCCCGGGTGTCCAGCAGAGGCAGCGTCATGGTAAAGTTGGAGGATTCGAAGCTTAAGAGGGTCGTAATCAGGGACATATATGCTGCCTCGGTAAAGCAATCGGCCTTCGACCTCGGTGCATTCGGCGAGTGATATGTCCTTTGATTGTCGATCGCCTTTATTCCGCATATCCAGTATCTTTTGGGGAAACGGGTCAGCGCTATATCCTTCATCGAATAATTCCTGCAGTGAGGCGTTCTTTTCAGCGGGCTCATTTGAGAAAGAACCCGCCAACAAACTTAGCTTTGCATCGAGATTCTCCTTCTTCAACACAACTTGACTCTGATGCGATTGTCTTTCATCCCCCTCTCCAGGGAGATCTCCTGATCTTCTTGTCAACGCGTCCGGTTTCCCTCCTTGTTTCCCTGGTCGGTATTTGATAACAAAATTAAACCGTGACAGGTATTCTGCCCACCGTGCTTGTCTCCGGTTGAGTTGTTTGGTACTCATAAAGTATTCAAGATTCTTATGATCGGATATGACGGCGATTGGGTGTGCAGCCCCTTCAAGTTCCGGTCGCCACTCCTCAAAAGACCGAATAATTGCCAGTAATTCCTTGTCGTAAATCTCGTAGTTGCATTCGGCGGGGGAGTGTTTTTTCGAGAAGTATGCAACAGGTCGGAGGATACCATTGTCATCGTATTGGGAGAGTACGCCGGCGGAGACATAGTCAGATGCGTCGGTTTCTACAGTAATTTCCTTTTCCGGGTCGAAATGAGTAAGAATGGGCGCCGTGGTAAAGGCTTCTTTCAGGGCATTGAAGGCGGATTGGGCTTCGGCTGTCCATCCAAATGATGTGTCCTTACGTGTCAGTCTGGTAAGAGGAGAAGCCAGTTCCGAGAATCCGCGTATGAATCGGCGGTAAAAGTTAGCAAAACCTAGGAATGCTTGTACATCCTTAACTGTTTTGGGGACGGTCCAATTCTTCACTGTCTCCACTTTCCTTGGGTCCATTTTAATACCATTGGGTTCGATAATCAGGCCAAGATAGGTGGTGCTTTGTGTGTGAAATTCGCATTTCTCCGGTTTCAGCAGTATTCCATTTCTTTGTAGGGCTTCCAGTACTTTTTCGACATGTGCTTGATGTTCCTCGAAGGTGTCGCTGTAAATAAGGATATCGTCAAGGTAGGCTGTGCAGAACATATCAAGGTAATCACGGACACAATCATTAATAAAATGTTGAAAGGTGGCTGGTGCATTGGTGAGGCCGAAGGGCATTACGGTGTATTCGAAATGTCCGTAACGCGTTCGGAAGGCTGTTTTCCATTCTTCACCCTCAGCCATTCGAATCTGGTTGTACCCTTGGCGAAGGTCAAGTTTGGTGTACCACTTGGCTTTGGAAAGGCGGTCGAGAGTTTCCCGGATGAGTGGTAGCGGGTAGCGGTTTTTAACAGTAAGTTCGTTGAGGCCACGATAGTCGACACAAAGACGGAGTGTTCCATCGGCCTTTTTAACAAATAGGACAGGGGCACCGGCAGGCGAAGAGCTGGCCTGAATGAACCCCTTTTGAAGGTTGTCCTGTATGTATTGTTTCAGCACGATGAGTTCCTCGCGGGACATACCATAAAGTGGCCCAAAAGGGGGCTCTTTCCCTTCCTTGAGGGGTATCTTATGATCATAGGGGCGGCGAGGCGGCATCTCGTTAGCGAATTCTTCGTCCATCATTTTATGAAATCTCTTATACCGGGTTGGGACCCGGTTCCTCCAGTCTTGCTTAGGGGCCTCGCCCGTTGCTTGATCTATTTCCTCAATAGTTGTACTAAGGATTTGGAGCTTGTCTCTTCGAGCAAAGCGACAAAGAGCAGCTGAACTGACGAGGTGAAAACGGGGCGGTGGTGCAACCCCTCTAATGGGAACGGGTATCGGGGAAGAGTTGCACTTGCGTTTGCAGTATTCGGAGTCGAACAGTATGCTATTGTCCTTAAACCGTAATGTTGCATCGTGCAATTGAAGCCAGGGGATTCCGAGGACGAGTGGGTACGAGCCGAGTTTGGTGACGAAGAAAGGGATAGTTTCATGGTGGGAGTCAATGGATAGCGGCAGATAGCAGAGGAGGGTAATTTGTCCGGAAGATATGGGCCGACCGTCGATGACTTCAAGAGTGCGGGGTGATTTGAGGGGGAGAAATGGGAAGTTGTTATGGCGCGCAAATGTTTCATCAATGAATGCGAATCCGGAGCAACCGGTATCGATCAGTGCGTGAGTTTGGATGGATGTTTTATTGTTTATAATTTTACAAGAAGCAACAAAATGATCCCCATCCAATTTATCCTCCACAGACGATACCGAGAAGCCAGAGATAGAAAACGCAGACAAAGGAGAAACATTGGAAGGTCCCGGGCAGGGGCCATTAATCAAGCCCGGGACTACTGAAAACCCGACTCAGAGGAGGCGGGACTAGCGACCGGTGGAGCAGCGGGGTCGACGGCCGTATGGCTGGGTGCGAGGAGGGCGCCTCTCATCACCGGTTGGTTACCGCGCGGGCGATTGGCAGAGGGGCAGTTGGCGAAGACATGACCAGGGTTGGCACAGTACATACAGAGATTGTTGTCCCTTCGCCATTGTTTTTCAGCGGTAGAGGTTTTGCGTTGTCCATTGACAAAAGTGTATCGTTGTTCAATGGCAGGACGTTGAGTGGAGCGGCTTTGGAGAGCAGAGAGGTCCATGGGGGCGAGGCCTCCGGCAGTATGAGATGGGTGTGCGACAGCAGCGGGGGCGGTGAATTGTCCCATTGTATTCCGAATGGCCCGTTGTTCAGCTTTGCGGCCCCGAACCTGGTTATCGATTGTCATCAACATGGTGGCATATGCTTCGACGGTGTTAGGCCTGTCTGTCCGGTATGTCATAGCGTCCTTCAGGTCTTCCGACAGTCCTTCGGCCAGGGCATCGATCTTGGCTCCCTCGTTGTAGTCTAGGTATGCCACGATGCGGAGGAACTGCGAATAGTAGGTAGCGAAGTCCCCTTTGCCTTGCTTCAGAGCAACGAGTTGGCGGCGGGCGGTACCCCGGGGGTCCGGGTCTCCAAACGAGGCTTCCAGGTGGGCAACAAAGGCAGTGACGGAGGAGAAGGGGGCGGCAGGGTTAGCGTTAACGAGTGGAACGACCTGGTCAAGGGCCCTTCCTTCCAAGCGGCTGACGGCATAAATGACCTTTGCTGCCTCGTTTCGGAACCGATCGTGGTTGACTTCAAGTTTCATTCGAAGTTGGGTGGTGAATCCGGGGAGCTTGGTGCGGGTGCCATCGAATTTTTCGGGGTCTGGAAACTTTTCGGACCTGAAGGCGGGGACAGGAGCAGGTGGGGGAGCAGCGGCAACGGGGACAGCGACGGTAGGGGCGGGGGCAGCGCGGGCGACATTGAGGTCGAGGTTGAGCCGGTTTATCTGCTCCTCGAGGTTGTCGATGGTTTCATTGGCGGCAGTGAGTTGTGTATGAAGGGTGTCCCTTTGGAGGCGGACGCGCTGGACGAGGGTGGCGATGTTGTCGAATAGTTCAGCAGGGCCGGCCTCATACATCTGCCTGAATTCCTCTACATCTTTGGGTGCATTCCATGCAGGCGGGTCGGAGGTGGACATATCGTACGGTGCGGATGACGACGCAACGTAATCTCAAGGGGGTGAGTAGCGGGTATTCCGCAGGGTACGAAGAGTGTAATAGGGGACGGTAGGGGAGCTCGAAACAGGGAGGCTACGGAGCTCGTAGCGTTGGTAAGGTTCGACAAGACGAGGAGAAAGCGCGGCGGTGGTCTTCTTAAGGAAAGAAGAGGACGATGATATTATATAGTAATAGACAGCGTAGATACAGAAGACGTTGCGTAAAGAAAGAAGAAGAAGAAGACAAAAATACAAACAAAACCCCCCTTAATATACTCAAGGAAACCCCAACGATGACAAATCCAACCTGACTCATACATTAACAATCAACGGAACCCGATAGAACCCAATAGAACCTTTCTGACTAATCCAACTCTTCGTAACCCCGTACCTCCACTAGTCGATCCATGAAAAATTCTGTGAGGCATAGTTTCTACCCAGGAATCAAATTTTTTCTCGTCCAACCCGTTCCGCTCCTCTTCTATAGCTTGAAACAGTTCCCTTTCACTATGAGGCCTTCTTTCTCCATCCGATCAACGCTAATGTCATTTTCTCTTAAAACTATTCCATGCATTCTCAATAGGATTGAGATCAGGGGAGGATGCCGGCCAAGACAAATTTTTGATACAGTGGGCAACCTGGAAATTGCGATTTATTTTTGCTGTATGATATCTGGCTCCGTCTTCCATTAATAGGTATTGATCAATAGACTCTTTTTGAGAATTCATATAAGGAATAAGATATGGTTCCATGATATCATTCCTATATTGGTCAGTATTGATGCCGAGTTTGTCTGCTGGTTTGGTTCATTCGGATGGTGTCATTTTCCGAATTAAAATAGGGAAGGTGCGAGTGCCATAAATATAAGCTGCCCAGTAACCGACAGAGGTTCGTCCTGACTTAAAGCTTGATGCCAAAAGATCATCTCGGAGTTCTTGTACAGCCTTGCACCGTACTCATTTGCCTGGAACAATAACATTAAATTCCACTTTTGATTTATCGGTACAAAACACACGTTTCCAACGTCCTAACCGTCAGTGTCGGTGCTTAAGACACCAGCCTAATCTCTTCTGTTTTTGGACTGGTTTAAGGAATTGTTTTTTAGGGGAGATTTTAAGCTTGTAGTCCAAGTTGAATAGTACTCGATCAATTGTACTTTTGCTTATGTCGCAATTTGATATGTCTACCAATTCTTGTAAAGTCGCATAGGAATGTTGTTCGGCTAACATATCAATTTTCTTTGTGACTGGAGTTGTAACTTTTGATGGTCTCATAGAATGTAGGGCATCGTGAGTGTCTCCTCCCCGCATTTTCACTCAGCGTATCACTTTGCCAATAGTTGAACAGGATACACCGGTAACTTCATGGATTTTGTTATATGTAAAATGGGCTTTATTGCTAAGTGTCCAGATTTCTGTTTTATGGTTATATCTTTCTGATCGGGGTGAGAATATATGTGTTGAAGCTATAGTTACAAGTGAATGAGGGGCCGTGATGCTAGGTTTTGGCGAGGTGCCAAGTCTTTTGGGAAATAGATATAAAATTGAGGGCCTCACAGATACATCATATTGTCCATACAGAATGGATATACGCAATTCCAACAGAGGAAAAGGGTTGTCCGATTACTATACCATAAATTTATTCCTCTAGAAGTAAAGGTTAAGATTCCCGCTGTTTATATACTGCTATCCTCGAAAAATATTCTATAAGGATAAATAGCTAGTGTTAGTCGATATAGGTTTTTCTACAAACCGAGTAATATTTTATGACGCACTCACTTCAGGAAAGCTCTGCTCATCCCAGTACAGCTGTACTCACTCCAGGAGCTCTACCAGTTTCAGTAATCGGTTCAGCATAACTGTACCCGCTCCTGTAACTGTATGAGTATCTGTACTCACCCCAGGAAAGCTATGCTCACCTCAGAAAGGCAGTGCTCACTTCAACAAATCTGTTCTGCGTCCATAGAAAGCTGTACTCATCCCTGAAGCTGTATCAGTATCAGTAATCGGTTCAATATAGCTGTTCTCATCCCAGGAATGCTGTGCTCGACCCAGGGAAGCTGTTCTCATCATAGGAGAGCTATCTCACCCCAGGATTGCTCTACTTCACTCAGGACAGTTTTAGTTACCCCAAGAGCTCTACTAGTAGCTTGACTTGTACCAGTAGCTGTGCTGATACCTGTACATTCACCAATAGCTCAGGCAGTACTGAACCTGTTGCATAGTAGCTCAAGATTAATTCACAGCTATACTACATTCAAGGTAAAAATATTATACATTCATTCAAATAGGAAATCTTGAGTTCTTAAATATCGTGCCTCTCCCTAATACTGGCGTTGTACTTTTAAAATTGTAATCTGTTGTGGTTAGAGATTCAACTTCAGACAGCTCAGAAGGGTCATCTATTTCCTACTGATCTTTTCATTCTTCGGTTCTGCCCAGAAGTTTACCATAATATACAACAATTGGATCTTCCACCATTCCTCGAGCAAAATCCATACTACAATTCATATTTTCTTGTATACAACAGCACAGGATCTCAGGTGTGATAACCTCAATCAGGATATTATTTGTCTCTGAATTCCTCTCGTCTATTTCCTCCATTCCAATTTCAAGCTCAGTTTCATACTCTCCATCACCTGTTTGACGTGGAACATGTAGGAGAAAATATTGCGAGTAGGAATGGTAGCCTTTGCAAACGTTTATCATAAATGTTATCTTCCCTACCAGTCCTCAGTCTTTTGTACTGATTATAGTATGGTAGTATTTGATAGTCCTGTATAAGCTCCTTGACAAATGTGGATATATTTTTGATCCGTCCTGTCAAACAAATCAATTTTGATGCGATCGTAATAAATTTGAGATTGGGTAGTTTTAAATTTGCAATATAGGTAAAGATATCCTGATGAGCAACAGGAGACTTGCTCTTAGGGGTGGCCTTTCATATAGCTAAGTATATATTAATATCATAAACAGGCTTATGGACGAGAAATTCATTTTTACTCAAGGATTCCTGATTGTTTCATAGACCGATTAGTTAATACATTGGATTACCAGGAGTTGGATTAATCAGAAAGATTCTATCAAGTTCTATCGGGTTCTATTATTTGCAAGAATATGAGTCACTTTGGATTTGTCATCGCTGGCATTTCCTTGTGTATATTAGGAGGTTTTCTCCTCGTTTCTGTTCTCTTTCTCTCCTTTCCTTTGATACACAATATGTTCTGTACCTACGCTGTCTATTATTATATAATATTATCTCCTATTCTTTACTCGAGAATACCACCGCGCTGCTGCTTCCTTTGTCCCATTAAACCTCTACCAACGTTAGAGTCTTTCAGGACCCCCATTGTAGGCTCCCTCACCGACCTCTTTCATACCCCGAGGCATACTTGCTACTCGCCCCCTTGAGATAAGTACTTTCCATAGGTGCAAGAAGTAAGCAAGCTGGTAAATCCTTACCCAATCGTTTCAACTGGCAAAAGATGATACTTACATATATAGTTGAAGATATTGGTATATTCGGGACTTCACCATTCATGAAGTATACTGCTAGTAGTACAAACATCGAACTTATACCCCAATTCTGCCTATTTACAAGTAACTGCTTACATACGAGTAATTTCTTACAGTGAAGAAAATACCCAACATATTCAGTTGGGCAAAAACAATTGATGTTTAGTTTCGTACTAATCCTTCTGCCCTCACAGCAAACAGTATATCATAATCTATTCCAAATCCAATGTCAGAATGCAGAGTAACTCTGTATTGGGGATCTCTTCTAAGAGAAATAGAATAAGATAGAATAAAGAGGGTCGTGCAAGGTAAACAATCAGGTTGGAGATTATTCAAAGATACTATCGCTAGAACTCAATAATCTTTAAGCGCTATGCTAACGATAAGAACTTGATATTTCTTTCTAATAAAGACTGGAGAGAATAGGACTGAAGGGCGAGAATGAGCCTGAGTACTTATACTCTAAAGACTTCTATTCTCTGCTCCTAACTCCTTACTAAGTTGCGGTAAAGCCTTTCCTCAGTCCGGGAAACAATACCACCGCTATCACACTTTTCTCTAAGCGTCAGCAGGAGTTTCCGATACTCAAGTCAACCACCCTTAGTCAAAGTCTTTGTAACGGCAGTTAGACGGGTTGGCTATTTGAGTTGTCTGGGTATAAGGGAGAAGGATTATGCAGTGTGGTTGGGTTTAGTGAAGTGGGTTTCTATTATGTTCTTTCTGTTTCTGTTACGCGAGGGTATGAGTCAGTATTGGGATAGGGTATGGATATATAAGGGGGGTGTTGTCTTGTGATTTCTTGTTTCTCTTTCTTTTCCTTTTCTCTTTATGCAACCTCTGTACTTCACAGTTACGAATACTATTCGGTTTGCGCTACGTCATAGGGTTTACCCGGTATACTAGACCAGGTACAACCATCCATAGTCCATAGTCCACAGTCTCCGTTCTCGCCTTAGGTGAACCCTTCGGCCCCATAGTCCATAGTCCACGAACCTCTTACGTCCACGTCTTCGCCTCGGTTGTATTCCTTGGCTTTATAGTTCCTACGCCCATAGTCCCCGTTACACTTAGGTTGCATCCTCTACAGCCAACCAATACAACACCGCATCGCTTAGCTCCGGTCGCGACCATGTCCGACACCACTCAAGATACGTTGTTGCAGCGTCTTTCAGAATTTCTGATCACCTATGGTCCCCTCCCAGCCGATATAGACTTCGGCGAAGAACTTACCGAGGCTCATGGTCTTATTGCTGAGTGTTTGGAGGCTCTCACCAAGCCTCTCGACACCCCAACGCCAACAGAACCCGTCATCGATACGGCCCAGGAAGAGGTTATTACCAGCCTCACCACAGAACTAGAAGCAGCCAACGAAAAGGCTGCCGATTTTTGGCAAACCTTGTGCGATAACCAGGAAGAGTCTACCGAGATCATCCGAGGTCGCGACGAGGTTATCGTTGCTTTGAAGATTGAGCTGGAGGAGTCTAAGGCCGAAGAGGAGGAGCTTCGGTATCGCCTGGCACTACATCAGGAAAGCCTCGCCATCACTGACGAAAACCTCGCTGATGCTGAAGATGAGATTCTTCACATCACCTCTGTTGCAAAGGCCTGGGAGGCCCAAGCCAATGCCACCATCGCTGATCTTTGTTCTTGTGTTTCTGCCACCACAGTCAAACCCCAACGCCGCTATGCCTCCACCAAATCTCTTTACTTATCCCCTCGCTCTCAAGATCCCCGTACCATTAGCAATTGGCGAGAAAGGCCAATTGAACATGTGTCTCCAAAGCCGGCGCTAAAAGGTCAGCCCCTTTGGTAGAAAATGGCAAACCAAAGGGGCTAGCCCCGCCACCAGTCTCTGTTATTTCTGCTGCTGCCGTGTCTGAGGACAAGATGTCCGAAGACTCTCTTGTCGTTACCTGCTCGGTTTCTCAGAATCTTGACTCTTTTATACCCACCTATGCCCTTATTGATACCGGAGCCTCTGGATACGCTTTTATTGACGAATCTTTTGTACGCCACAATAATCTCACAATGACCCGCCTTAAAGTACCTCGTCAGGTAGATGTTATGGATGGGAGGCCTATTGAATCAGGAACGATTACCCATATTGTTAATGTGTCGCTGGATATCCATGGTCATCGGGAAACTGCATCATGTTTTGTAACGAAGCTGGGACACTATCCAATTGTGATGGGAATACCTTGGATGCGACGTCACGATGTTACGATTCGGCCGAAGAAAAATTTACTTGTTTTTGACTCTCAAAGCTGTTGTCAACACTGTTCACTCAGTGGAACGACAGTCACTGTCCATGGAATATCGGTCCCTCTACCGGAACATCATACTGTTGTCGTTTCAGCAGTTGAGAAATCCACCACCGACGTCAAGCAACTCGTGCCAAAGGAATTCCACCATCGCCTTCCCATGTTTAAAGAATACGACGCCTCAGTCCTTCCACCTCACCGACCCTCCCATGACATTGAAATAATTTTGGAAGAGGGTAAACGACCACCGTATGGACCCATCTATGGTCTATCGCAGACTGAATTGAAAGCATTACGGAAATATCTTGATGAGAACTTACCCAAAGGATTTATTCGGGCCAGTAAATCACCGGCGGGAGCACCTATACTATTCGTAAAGAAAAGTGATGGGACTCTCCGGCTATGTGTGGATTACCGAGGCCTTAATGCGATCACGGTCAAAAATCGGTATCCGTTACCACTGTTAAAGGAAACTTTGGCTAAACTTTCGAAGGCACAGTACTATACTAAGTTGGATCTACGTTGGGGATACAATCAGATCAGGGTAGCGGAGGGAGATGAATGGAAAACGGCATTTAGAACTCGATATGGACATTTCGAGTATACAATAATGCCGTTCGGATTAGCCAACGCCCCCGCCACCTTTCAACATTGGATTAATGATATCCTACGGCCTTATCTTGATCAATTTGTCACGGCTTATTTGGATGATATCCTAATTTATTCGGAAACTTTGTCAGAATATAAGGATCACGTCCAGAAGGTTTTGAAGGTACTTGATGAGAATCATGTTCACCTTAAACCTGAAAAATGTGAATTTATGGTCCAGGAAACGAAATATCTCGGCCTTATTCTCACCCCGGATGGGAATAGGATGGATCCGAAGAAAGTTGTTGACGTATTAGAATGGTCCACACCAAGGAATCTCCATGATGTTCAGGTATTTCTGGGATTTGCAAATTTCTATCGACGGTTTATTTTGAAATATTCAAAAATTGTTGCTCCGCTTACAGCTCTGACTAAGAAAAATATCAAATTCGAATGGACGGATGAAAGGGATGAAGCATTCCAGACATTGAAAAAGATGTTCACAACGGCACCCATACTAATGCACTTTGATCCGGATCGGAAAATCGTGGTAGAAACCGATGCATCCGACTATATTTCTGCTGGAATCCTGTCCCAACGTGACGACGAAGGAATTCTACATCCAGTCGCTTTCTTCTCCAAGAAACATTGCCCTGCGGAATGTAACTATGAGATCTATGACAAAGAACTCCTAGCAGTCGTACGATGTTTTGAGGAATAGCGACATCATTTAGAGGGGGCACAATTCCCAATTGAAGTTCTTAGCGACCATCGGAACCTCGAATATTTCATGTCAACAAAGTTATTAAACCGTCGACAAGCCCGTTGGTCGGAATTTCTTTCACGTTTCGATTTGTCATTCAATTTAGACCAGGAAAACAAGGGGCGAAACCAGATGCATTAACTAGGAGGTCGGGTGACCTGCCTAAAGAAGGGGATGAGCGGTTGACCCATCAGAGTCAAGTGGTGTTGAAGCGAAAAAATTTAGATGCAAAGCTAAGTTTGTTCACGGGTTCTTTTTCAAATGAATCCGCTGAAGGAATGTCCACTGTAGAAGAGTTGTTTTTAAATGCTTACCAAGTTGACAGTTTCCCGAACAAAGTCCTTGCAATGCTTCGGAATGGCGTCCGTTACTCGAATAAGATTTCGCTTGCCGAATGCACGGAAGACAATAACGGTCGGCTACTTTATCGTGGCGCACTCTATGTACTAAATGACAACGATCTTCGGCTAAGACTCCTAAAGGAACATCATGATAAACCATCGGCAGGCCATCCAGGCAGAGCGAAGACTTTGGAACTCCTGAATCGAGAGTACTACTGGCCACAGATGCGAAAATATGTCGACCAGTACATTAGGAATTGCAATGTGTGTGCCCGTAGTAAGGCACCACGCAATGCAGCTTATGGGGTACTTCGACCTATGCCAATACCCGATGGACCATGGAGGGATGTATCGATGGATTTCGTTACTGATCTTCCGGAAAGCGATGGATATAATGCGATATTGGTGATAGTGGATCGACTAACCAAGATGCGACATCTGATTCCCACAACTAAAGAGGCGGATTCAAAAGAAGTAGCGAGGTTGTATATCGATAATGTTTAGAAATTACATGGACTCCCTGAAACTATGGTATCTGACCGAGGAACACAATTTGTTGGGGAATTCTGGAGGTCCCTTTGCAATCGTTTGGAAATATCGCCAAAGTTCTCTACAGCATTTCACCCCCAGACGGACGGACAAACGGAAAGAATTAATGCTGTGATGGAACAATATCTTCGAAGTTATGTTTCTTATCAACAGGACGATTGGGTTCGATGGTTGCCAATGGCCGAGTTTGCAACAAACAACCATGCTTCTGAAACGACGAGAATTTCTCCATTTTATGCCAACTCGGGGAGGAATCCAAGAATGACTTTTGGTCCCTTGGAACATGGTAGGACGATAGCGGAGGATCAGGCTAACAGTATTGCAAGGAAGATGAAGGATATATTAGATTTCCTAAAGGATGAACTATTTCGAGCGCAAAGAATTCAGGAAGAATCGGCCAATATACGTCGAACCCCAGCACCTCACTATCGTGTGGGGGATAAAGTTTTCTTATCGACCCACCATGTCCTTACCAAACGACCGTCGAAGAAACTCGATTGGAAGCGTATTGGGCCGTATGCCATTAAGCGAATCGTTAATCCCTATGCCTACGAGCTGGAACTTCCCCGGTCTATGAAGGTTCATCCCGTATTCCATGTCTCTTTATTGTCATCTGCAGCAAATGATGCTTTACCAGGACAACAACAGTTACCACCACCGCCGGTCGAAGTTGAAGGACAGGAGGAGTGGGAAGTCGAGGATATTTTGGATTCCAGGGATCGTTGGGGAAGATTTGAATACTTGGTTAAGTATGCCGGTTATTATGAAGCTTCGTGGCAGCCATTGTCGGATGTCGAACATTCGCCCGATATTGTCAAACGATTTCACAAACGATATCCATGGAAGCCTAAGCCTACCAGGAGGTAGGCCTTAGAGGGGGGAGTGGTCTGTAACGGCAGCTAGATGGGTTGGCTATTTGAGTTGTCTGTGTATAAGGGAGAAGGATTATGCAGTGTGGTTGGGTTTAGTGAAGCGGGTTTCTATTATGTTCTTTCTGTTTCTGTTACGCGAGGGTATGAGTCAGTATTGGGATAGGGTATGGATATATAAGGGGGGCGTTGTCTTGTGATTTCTTGTTTCTCTTTCTTTTCCTTTTCTCTTTATGCAACCTCTGTACTTCACAGTTACGAATACTATTCGGTTCGCGCTACGTCATAGGGTTTACCCGGTATACTAGACCAGGTACAACCATCTATAGTCCATAGTCCACAGTCTCCATTCTCGCCTTAGGTATACCCTTCGGCCCCATAGTCCATAGTCCACGAACCTCCTACGTCCACGTCTTCGCCTCGGTTGTATTCCTTGGCTTTATAGTTCCTACGCCCATAGTCCCCGTTACAGTCTTTGTAACACCTGCAGCCTTGGTTGCCACATAACTGGAGCCTACAAGAATGAGCTGCCGTTTAGATGTAAGCTTAATTATTGCTGTAGAGCTTTTGCTTATTGTAGACTTCCCTGTCCTAGTCCCTGCCACTATCGGTGGACTTGTAATGCTCACAAGATACAGAGTATCAATTGGCAATGAGAGCTTCACTCTAGCCAGCCTTCTAATCACTGGGATGACATAGACTTGGCAGGTATTGCTCCGATGAATAGATCCCCTTCCTAGCGCTCAGAATGTAGTTACTCTAACAGCTGGTAGCTAACCACACTGCCGGTACTTGCATATCAATTTGTAACTGGCTTCTAACAATAACTCTCACCATGCACCCAGGCCCTGTATGTACTCATACACGAGACAGTTGAAATGGGCCCTGTGTGTACTCATACACCAGACAGTTGAAATGGCTCCATTACAAATTCTTGTCCCGAATTCTATACTTACATTATAAAATGACAGAAACAAAACATTGGAGACTGGAAGGTTAAAAAAACTAATAAATGAGAGTACCGAAAATGTAAATCATGATTGGACTCCTGAAATACAAACATTAATAATATACAAAATGGACGACTATTATTGAAATGAACATATGCAAAAAATCAAAATGAAAATCATTATAGTTACAATTTAATTGGAAGATCGCAAAGTAAAAACTGATCATATTTGATTCTCTCCAATTACAATTCTGGCAACTAATAGAAGCAATCAAAGTTTGGTTTCTGTATCTGAAATCGTGCAATCCTGACCTATTTGATTATTCCAATGAGCCTTGTCATGGTCGTGGTAGGGAAATTGATTATATAGTAATTTTTAATTTAAATTCTAACCTTGAAATAAATGTATTCGGTGACGGCAATATGTTGGGTAGGCATTAACTGTTGCCTCATTAGAACTCATTGCTTCTAGCTATACTTGTTGTTATGAATCATTTCAGAATTGACATTAGGGACTGGAAAGATTAATTGACTAAGCAACAGCTCAGCGGTAAATACAGGGGTAGTAGTAGGCATAGGAATAGTAGTGCCAGTGGTTCTGCGATCTAAATAATTCATCTTGAAACTGGAAACTGCACCATTAACTAAAGCAGGTACAATAGTCAGATCAGGCAAATTGGTGGTAGCAGGGGCAGGTGACACAGCAAGCGAAGGAATTAATATAGTAAAATTACGACATTTGAATACTGTAGTCAGCAAATCTGGATCCGTTACCTACTCTCTCTCCCTATTCCCTTCCTGCCACTTTTTATGCTGTCGAAAGCTTCAAAATATTCAATAGCGTAGATTGGAAAGTTGAATATAGAGACGGCAAATTCAGCAATAGAGTTGAAATAATGAAATTAAACTTGGAGATAGAGACAACAAAATTCAAAATAGAGATGGGAAAGTTGTTAATATAGACAGCAAAGCTGGAGATTGAGTTCAAATAGATTAGAAAAACAAAGAGACAGAAACGGCAAACTCGTCGATAAAGTACATATAAAATATATAAACTCAGCGATGAAAATATCAAAGTCGATTATAGAATTAATATAGAGAAGCTAAACTCGGAGATAGCGTGAATAAAATTAGAAATTTTTAAGATTTCCATTATATTTGTTAAATTTGTAGTTAGTTATTACAAACTTCAAAATTATTTTAATCAAACCAAAAATTCAGCTTCATATAAAGATTATGTATCTGAAAAATTGAATAAAGAAACAATAATAGAATTCTCATATTGTATTTAGAAATTATCTACAAACTAACTGTTTATCGCTAGCATTATATAATCAAGAAAACAATCTGTTACTATTTCGAAACCTCTTGTCTTGTATGTCCAAATTTTCTTTTAAAGTTTTTAGTAACATCAGCAAAAAATGGGTTTCCCCAAGACGAATTCCGGCACCCAGATGCCCAAATTCGTCTTTTGCCCCCAAGACCTCGTCTTTTGGCTCTGGGATCTCGTCGTATGTCCCGCTATTTTTGGCCGCCCGTCATTCGACCACAAAACGTTGTCCATTCAGAGCTCCAATTACGAAACCGGTCGTGCGACCTCATTAGCTCGTCTTTTGAATCAATCTATCCTACGCTCGTCTTATGCCAAATGTCCCTGTCTTCACTACCCGTCAAAAGACGAAGATGGCTCAATTGGGAAATCTTCGTCATTTGACTCGGACATAATTCTGTCCAAAATCCAAGTCCAATAATCACTTCGTCTAAAATACAAACTCTAATGACCCCCGGGCCCGTCTAATACCTTCCACCTAATATGTACAATACAATCTAGTGCGTCGAATATCCACTGTTTAACATGTCTAAGGACTCCCGCCTAATTCCCGTTTGTCTTCCCCGTTCGTCATAATCCCCCCTGCCCAAAACCTATCGTCAGAAGTCCACCTGTCTAAAGTCTCTTGTCTGGTGTTCATGTCGTCAGTATCATTATAAAAAACTCAGTCCAAAGTCCCGTCTTACTTCAGTAAATTGATCAGTATGTCGATAGATCGATCGTACTATTGATAAACCATCTATTGTTCGTAGATGACGTCGTCTCAGGCACCAAATGAGCGGCGTCCAAAATGCTTTTTATGTTTACTACCCATATATCGTCAGGAGAGCTTGAGCAGCGTGATACCCTTATTAGCCCGTGGTCGACATTGGGGTTTCCATTGAAGTCCGGCTTCAATGGTTGTATCGCAGCCAGAAGTCTGGCCCCCCTTCGTCTTGGGTCCCTGAGCTTAAAGACCGCAAGCAGCCTTGCTGGGCATAAACCCTGCAAAGCGTCCAGGTCAGCCAGCTTTTGACGAAACCAGACCCAGTCGTTGCGCGCGTTTCCCCGTCTATAACCTGACGTTCCCGTCGTACGAAGTGTGTGAATTGTCCTCTCGTCGCCCTCGCCGTGCAAAAGGACGGGTACGTTGAGCTGTTTGAATGTGTTTACCCGCCAGCTATCGATGTCTTCGGGCATATCTTCGTATCCAAGACATAGCTCCCTCCTGAAATACCGCCGGATGTAATACCCCAGTCTCTTTGTAGCACCTGCGATATCTACACTACCGACATTTGTTAATTTGACCGGGCATTTGACCCACCTCTTCTCCACCCTGGTGTCGCTTGGTAAATAGACCAATGGCGCGATATCCTGCGCTTGAAACGCCGGGTCGTCCTGAGGGTCTCTAAGATCCCGTCTTGCAGCTTGCATCCTCCTCCTCAGACGTGGCTCTAAGACGTCGAGATTGCCGACAAGCTCAGTGGTCGAAAAACCGTCCCGGGCAATTTGTAGAAGATTTAATTCGCAAATGGAAAACGTATAATCACGGTTAAACGTCCGAAGTATCTGCATTGCGGGATCGACGCGATTGCTCCGACGATACGGTATTTTGATCTGATCCCTGTGGGCTGACTCGCAAGACTCCGTCGAATAGTCCGGAATATTGCCGTATTGACGAATGTGCTCTGCGAAATGGCCCATGAGGTGTATTTTGGGGAAGTTGAAGTGGGATTCTGCTCGCAAGATCTCGTCGGTTTCCGCCTGGAGATTTAGCCTTTGGTCTGCGATAACCCTTCGTCTTTGGCCTAAAGAGTCGTTTAGGCCTGCTAACTCGACGTCGTATTCCCCGCGCAATTCCCTCCGTCGTTCCGCCACAAGTCTGTCAGTCTCTCTAGTCGCGCGATATTTCCTGAAGATATCCTTCGTCCTATGGAAAGCCTTTAGGTAATTATCCAACATGTCTATCGTCAGCTCGTTATGAGAACGATGCTGGGCGACTAGTGCCCAGTCGACCAATGCCCGGACGCATTGAAAGGCTTTCTTGAATGGCTCTGCCTGGGCAGATGACGGATTCCTGAGGGCAGACGCCAGGGCTGGTAAGATTATTTTCTGAAAATTACGCATCTCCTTCCCTTGCCATTGACTGACCGCTTGATAAGGCTTCGTCGGTGGGGTAAATCCAGGGTAAGGTGGCATGCGCGTCCATATGGCGTTGAATTCATCCAAACGACCATGTTCCTTCAGGAAGTCTTCCAGCCACTCCATAAGATGTTTCAGGATTCCCAAGTATACCACGTGGAGCATGTCTTGCTTATGGAGGTCGTAGGCTTGTACGAAGGGGAGATTCCAGAAAGGGTTGTACAGAGGTCGTAAACCACGAGAATCGAACCACTTAGTCAGCGTCTTCAGCTCCCGCCTTTCGTCTCTCGTCGGATTCTCCAGTACCTTCAGCGCCCTGTACTGACGATACATTCTCTTGTATTCGTCCTGATCACGAGGGTAGGTCTTGAGCGGTTCGGCTTCGTATTCGCCCAGTCTATTGACGGGTATCTCGCACTTGGGGCACAAGTTGAACTTGGTATTCAGAATATTGCAGCTCTCCATGTGGTCCGAAAGCCATGCCGTCAGAATCGGCCAACAACGTCTCTCGTACCCGTCTGAGCAGCCCATTAAGACGCCGAGCCTTTGGTCAAAGTGCAGCAGAGGCTCCAGTATAACTGACATGACTCTCCTCAGCGTCTCCGCCGCCCAGGACCGGAGTCTCCCCTTTGACGTCGCGTCGCCAATTATCTTAGGAGGTATTGGCAATAGTGCGAGTAGCAAATGCGCCTTGGTCGACGGCTTGGATCGTACTTTTCCCGGTATATTGCCTATCGTCATATATATCGGCCAGGTCTTCTTGTCTCCGGAGAAGTTTGTCAGATGCGTGACGTCGGAGCTGCAGATAATCGGGACAATCGTGGCCCCGGTAGGAAGTCTTTCCTGCATATTCCACCACCAGTCCGCTGTATGCATCTCGGAATAGAGTTGATATCCGTCCGCGTCGTAAACCCTCTCCGGCCGATAAACCATGCTCGACTTGTAGCAACGTTGACCCAAGAGATACCTCGCGCATTCGACCGGATTCCTGTAATATAAGTCGGTCGTTCTTCCAAAGCCGTCCCCGACGGTCCCGTATTGAAAGTTAGGTGGGGAGCCCGTCATTTTGTCGAGCTGGTTCTGGAAAGTATAAGCGGACTGAAAGGAACGCTCGTTCTTTGTCGTCTTGTGCAACCCCTCATTGAAGTAGGCGTCAATTGATGTAGAGGTCAGCTTGTGCTCGATAAAGAAACGAGCCAATCTCCATTCCGCCGCGTCTTTGAATGGTGCCCAGGGCTTCCAATTCTCTTCCATATAGTCCCGATAGCCCTGGACCCGACCTAGTCTTTGTCCACTGTTGGGTAGGTATGCTGTGGCCCTTTGATTATCGTCAGCTTGCTCTGAGATCGGGGGGGCGATCGCCGCAGGGCCATCGTCGTCGGAGTCAGGGTCAAAGTCGGATTCCGCCTCAGAGTCGGCTTCTGAGTCTGTAGAATCGTCCGAGCCATCAATTACCAGAGTAAGCGTACCAGGCCCGGCGTCTGGCAGCGTAGTTTCGTCTTCTAAACGCTCGTCCTCAGGCGCATCGTCACCGCCATGATGCCGGTAAATATGTCTTGCAAGATGTCCCGCGCGACGGTAATACCTTGGGCACAGGGGGCAAGGTGTGGATGACATCCGCTTTCTTGATCAGTCGTGATGGTCTTTTGGCTTGTCGTGCGCGTCTTTTGCTTCGTCGTATGCCTCATTCTCGCGTTCACTGGCACTGGTATCGAGTGGGTTTATACTGCTGGAATTCTGACTGAGCAAAATGACCACTGTAGCACAGACCGACGATCGTTTCCCCGGGGTCGTCAGCCTCGAGCCAAGCTTTGCCAAGCACATGCGACCTGACATCATTCATCACAACGTCGTCTGACCTCACCACCAACAGTTGCAAACCTCCGTCAAAGCACTCGTGTTGGTTCATTCATTAACCTAATCCGGCGACGATGAGCCTTTGTTTGTCGTCCCCTGCCTTGTGTATATGGTTAGGCGTTACGAGTTGCCGATTCCAGCACACCCTCACGATGGTAATTCGCACAGTCTTTGTTCTATATAAGGGTCTAAATACCCCGTTGTTTCCCCGGAGTCTATCCTCCTGAAGGCATCCACCAACGGTCAACCGTCTTTTGACCACCTTCCTAACGCAACTGACTACAATGGTGGGAACTCGGTCGGGTAAGAACAAGTCGGCATTAGCCCAAGCGGGAATGTCATCTCCGAAGAAAAGAATGGAATGGGCCGATAAGGAGGGCCCCTGGGTTTTGTCGATTAGCAGAGCAGCGTGCATAGCAGAGGTAAGATTTCTATCAAGTCCTATATCTCTCGCCCTCTGACGCCCGCCAGGGGTATGCGAAAAAGAGCAAATTTACTGGCGCCGAAGTTAAGTCCTTGCTCGGCATTACGCCGGCCCAATGGAGGAACATGTTCGAAGCTGTGCACGACTACTTTGTCGAGAATGCGATTGCCAGCAGAACTATGGCAACAGACGAGCAATGGGACGAGGCCGTGAGACTCCTGCTCAGTTATCCGCCCTGGAATAAATTCAGACGCCTGCTTCAACAGCCGGAGGAAGATTGCACCTTACAAGGGGCCTTGATCAAAGTCTGTGTGAGCAGTACACTCCAAGATCTTGCCGAACGTAAGTCTGCTGAGGATAGAGAGAAGTTCTCTGAGGCACTCAAAGAGAAGGAGCGTGCGGCGAAGTCAGCGAAGGCGAAAGCAGCGAAGAAGAAGGAGACCAAGGGGAAGGCGACCGACACAAAAGGCAAGGGCAAGCAGCGCGAGACGGCGCCAACTCGCAGTTCGACAAAGAGGAGCAAGCAGGCCCAGGCGCCTCTGCCCGACGACGAGGACGAGGTCTACCCTGACATTGACGAATTTGCCTCGTCGGAAGACGAAGCGGAGAAGCCGAGGGACAAGGCAGACATCGGAGATGAGACGGACGACGAAGAGACACCCGAGGAAGCCGACGAGCACTTCTCGGCGAAGACCCGGAAGGTCGAAAGGGCACCATATCTTACTGATCGGCCTATCGGCATTTCGCATTGTTTCCCCTCCAAATACCGCTTTGAGCGACTCGGAGGGGCGAAGTTGGGACTACGTCAGAAGCCTTGGGAAATGCCTAATTGGACTCCAAGAACCTTTGGTGGGCATCCCTACCTGACGTTTAGTTCACTTCCCGGTCCGTATCTATCGGAGGTCGTGAGGATGGTCAGGGGGGTACAACTAGACCCTGAAACCCGCGGCGGTGCTTCTGACTTGCCACACCCCGCGATACGCCATTTGGTCGGGTCTCTTGTCCTCGACGAGGAGTTTTCCAAGACCGCGTCAGGTCAATATCGTGTCTACCGGCCGTTACCTGAACAGGTCATCTTCCTACAGTCGGACAAAGATGTCAGAGTATGGCTCAATGCTTGTAAAGTTGCACCGCGACTGAGACTATTGGTGGTTTATAATGAGCGCGATAAAAACGCCAGGCAGACTCCACCGCCGCTGTCATTCCCCTACTTTCACGTTGACTGGGAGGTGCTGATGGACAATCAGTTGCGGATTGACCGGAGAGCGTCGGGCATCAAGGCCGAGGAGACAGGAACTCGTTGGGGGAAACTGACGAAGAGGAAGAGAAGTGAGATTGTGGAGGTGAGCGACGACGACGACGACGACGACGCTGACGACGACGCCGACGACGACGCCGACGACGACAACGAAGGCGAGGGTGAAGGTGGAGGGTCGAGTTCCCGTAAAAAGCCCAGAGGAGAGAACGCCGGAGAGGGCAGCTCGAGCAAGGCGGGCCCGAAAGGCAAGGCAGAGGGTAGCTCGAGCAAGGCGGCCCAGAAAGACGACGATGACGTCGACGACGAGGAAGAAGAAGAGGAGGAGGACGAGGAAGAAGAGGAGGAAGAAGAGGAGGAGGAGGCCCCAAGGAGAAAGAAGACAAAGACACCCGGACTCAAGACGCCGGCCAAGACGCCGCCATCAAAGACACCCGGGCCCAAGACGCCGGCCAAGACGCCGCCATCAAAGACATCCGGCCCGAAGACCCCGGCCAAAACACCTGCTCAGACTACTGCTGCCGAGCGAGGAGTGAAAAGGTCGAGAGCGTAAGTTGGACTAAATTCCGTACCAGTAGTATAGTTTCTCCTAATGCGGCTAATGCGGTCAATACGTTAGACACCATCTGTTCGATGAGCCTGCTGAGAGCCCGCCCTATGAGGGTGAGCAGGGGGAAGAGCAAGGGGACTTAATACCAGAGTACGAAAGCCGGGCCACTGGTTCACAAGCTGACAGCGCTCTGGAGTCTGAAAGAACTACGCAAGATGAGATGCCCGGCGAAGAGCCTGCCGGGGAAGGTAGTTACGTTGATGGTGGCCCTGATGGGGGTATTCCTCCCGGCGGGCGCGGGGACGAGTCAATCGATATGGAAGTGGGTTACCTTACCGATGCATCGACCAGTTCGATTGAAGTGGCTAAGCTCCAAACAATTCCCCGTCTTCCCCAGTCCCCCCACCCCCAAATCTCCCCTCCCCCCACTATCATCAACCTCCCCGACATCCCTGCGAAGGGCTGGACTTCCGTCTCTCGTCCTGCGACTCGAAAGAAACTTCGTTTCGAGTAGCACTGGTTGATAGTAGGTTGCACGCTCCAGTCACCTGCTCGTGAGTTTTCTGACCCTAGTCGCAACCTTTAGCTTTTGACGGTTGTGGTTCTCGTCTTTTTGTCGGCCTATCTTTTATGGCGTTATTTTTTAGCCTCTTTGGCGGTTGTTGCGATATGTTTGGTCTATCTGTTTTGGGTGGTTTGACAGTTGTCCTGGTCATCTTTTGGGATTAGTCTTATCTATTTTGGTCTTTTGGGGTTAGTCTTATCTTTATTGGGTCTTTTGGGGGTTAGTCTTATCTATTTTGGGTCTTTTGGGGTTAGTCTTATCTTTATTGGGTCTTTTGGGGGTTAGTCTTATCTCGTTCGGGTTATTTGACGGGGGTCCTTTTGGTTTAGGGTTAGTGATATCTGTTAGGGTCTTTTGGCGCAGCATGTGAGGTGAGTTAGGTCTTTCGATGCTGGTTGGGGTCGTTATAGATTCGTCTGATCATTAGTAGTATACTGTTATTAGGAGCGTCACTCGACCGAATACAATACAGTGATGAGTATGTTGAGCAAAAAGACGTAGCCGACGCCAAGCAAGTGCTTAGTCATCTGACAATCCAAGTCGCGTCCGACCTCATCTCCTCTCCTCTATCCAATCTGAAGGCGAGTACACAATCTCTGTTGCTCGCTTGGCCTATGACGACTCTAGTAAACGGACTGGATCGACGGAACACAAATAGCAGTAAAGCCCGGACAGGAAGGGTGCGGAATCGAAGCCTTTTTCGTCTCCTGCCATTGCCCACCCTCCGGGAACGCGAGCTTGCTGGGGACGCCAACTCGGACTTGAGAGGGTTTTGACTTGACCGCCCTCGACTACCCACATACGATTTAGTGAAACGGCGTGAATCTGTATTATGGTGGAGTTGAGGCTAACCCTTGGATTTTAGGTTTTCTACTAGCATGGCGACTGAATGTCCGTCGTTTGTCTTCGCGTCGTTGGCCTATATCTATCGGTCGGTGTACGTTTCGAATCAGACCTCAGTAATCTGACCAGAAGGCGAGTAAACAATCTTTGTTGCTCGTTTAGCCCATATGACTCTAGTCGCGTGGACCGTTTGATTAGCTGTATAATACCCATGCCAAAAAGCAGTAAAGCCCGGACAGGAAGGGTGCGGGATCGAAGCCTTTTTCATCTCCTGCCATTGCCCACCCTCCGGGAAGGCGAGCTTGCTGGGATCACGAAATACCAAGGGTATTGCGTCGGGGGGATGGGACGACTCCGTTCGAAAAGCTGTATACCCATGCCATTAAGCAGTCGAGCCCGGACAGGGTGATGCGGGAATGAAACTATCGGTCGGAATGACCGCTGCCTGCCAGTCACCCTTGCAGACGAGCTTCTAGAAGACGAGCTTGCTGGGACGCCAGCGTTAGTCACGCGACTGAAACCGACGGATCACGAAATACCAAGGGTATTGCGTCGGGGGGATGGGACGACTCCGTTCGAAAAGCTGTATACCCATGCCATTAAGCAGTCGAGCTCGGACAGAGTGATGCGGGAATGAAACTATCGGTCGGAATGACCGCTGCCTGCCAGTCACTCTTCCAGGAGACGAGCTTCTACCAAGACGAGCCCGGACAGGGTGATGCGGGAATGAAACTATCGGTCGGAATGACCGCTGCCTGCCAGTCACCCTTCCAGGAGATGAGCTTCTAGAAGACAAGCTTGCTGGGGACGCCAGACTCGGACTTGAGAGGGTTTTGACTTGACCGCCCTCGACTACCCGCACACGATTTAGTGGAACGGCGTGAATCTGTATTATGGTGGACATATTTAGGCTAAACCTTGGATTCCAGGAGCTCGGAACAAATCGCGGGACATATCTCCTAGCGTCGTTTGCCTCTAGCTATTGGTCCGTGTACGGATCAATGACATCACGGCAGAAGTTGCCCTCCGAGTCATCTCCCCACTCCCCCTTCCCAAAACTCTCTTATAAAGTTGGTACGTTGCACTGCCCATGCTACCGACAGACATCCTTGACAATGCCTCAGCGAGAGAGTCAGTTTCATTTGTCTAACTCCTCCCGTCCCTCGCAAAACACCTACAGAGAAACTTCCTCCCGTCGGAACACCAGGTCGTTTAGCAGGGACAGACGACCGACCACCCAAAGACATGTACGATCTTCACAAGAGATTCCAAGCACCTTTCCACATGACTCAGCCAGACGATTGCCTACGAGATCGTCACAGGCGCGAGGACAAGAAACGGAGTCTGAAGACGATGTCTCCGAATACGGGGACCCATCAGAAAGAGCTTCACAGATTGATTTACAGCTTCATGGCGAGATGTATTTGACAAAAGACGGGAGAGTCAATGCCCGACAACCTACGAGCCCGCCACTCTCAAGCCTACCACCCCAGGAGTCTCAATTTCAGCAATCCTCGTCGAGGGATACGTTACCGTCGGCCGCACGAAATAGAGAATCTGACGCGAACCAGCCGCATGACACTTTTTATGCCTCCCCCGGGCGTGGTAATAGGTCTCCTACCCGTCGAAACGCCCTAACTAGTCAGACACATACTCACTCCGGTCATCAAGATTCTGAGTCTATTAGAACATCGTCGGGGGGGACCCGCCCCGAAGCCCGTCGTCAACTTTCTGAGCTTTCTAGACCGGCGTCGATAAGAGCCCCTTCCGAAGTCGTCAGGAGTACAGATTATGCTAGTGGCAGCGGCGGTGGGTATTCTGGAGAGTCGTCGTCACAAAATCTACTAGCGCCGGTAGACCCTACCGATCCCAACAAAACCAGAGCTCTCCGACATCGTAGCTTAGGGCAATTCGACATTGAGCTGAGGACTCTAATCGAAAAAGCTGGGTGGCATCTCACCAAAGAGACACTATTCAAAAACCCGATGCCCTCGGTATTGGAATTGGCGTCCATGGTCAGAAATTCATGGGATTTTGCCAGGGCGGGAACCGACTTTCCAGCGGAGTTGTCGACCGGCGTGTCCGGGCAGGTGAGGTTTTATCATCAACGGACTCGTTCACACATGATGGAGAAGGCAAAGGCGGTAATCGCGTTATATTACGGCCTAGCCGGCATGACCGGCGAGCAAGCAAAAGCCCGTGTCGATTACCTCCTGACAGATGACCGTTTCAATTGTGATCCCACTCATTACGAGGTATATCCACTGTTCGTCCAGGGGCACAGATTTGGTACTAATGTCTTTAGCCCGCGCAATGGCATTTCGCCGCACCTCAAATACCGCGTTTTATCGTCTACGCCTACTATAAGACCAATCGTGGGATTGCCGTCAACCATCCGGAATTTGAGAGTTGTATCAACCCGTCTTTTATCTGCCTGGTTTCTACTGTACTTTACCATGCGCTGAGAGTCCACGTAATTGGAGGCAGCAACTGGAAGAATGGTGTCTTCAATAAGGACTATTGCGGCGGTGAGCACCCCGTCTTTCATCTGGTCAGGTTATCGACGGGTATCATTATTGACGGTGGTGCTAGTAATTTTCGAGAGGCACATGCGCACATGGAAGAGGTCCTTCCCCGACGATGAGACGTCAAATCTAGTACTGAAGGGGATTCGACACGAGATATTGAAACGGATTAAGAGGACAAACTGCTGCAGGATTACCGCTACGGAGAGCAGGGAGGCAATTATTGACCCTGGAGTAGGCAGCTTTTTGGAGGGTCTCCGATCCAAGCTCAGTACGGAGACTGACGACGACGATATGGGGTCCGACGAGGCAGGCGACCCGCCGTTTGACGATGACGACGGGGAGGAGGGCAATGTCACTCCACCTACAGTCGGGGACTACGTAGTCGATACAGAAAGCCAGATAGATGGGACTATTAGAACAATTACCGGGATTAATGTAAATATTGAAAACGACGTAGAGAGAGATGTCAGTATGACGCAGGGCGGAGAAGAGCGCTCGGGAGAAGTGGTCAGAAGACGGAGAGGGAGACCGCGCAGGAGCAAAGTACAAAGGGTCAGATAGCTCTCACCTAAATAGACGAACTAGCTAGAGCGAGGGGCGTCAAAAGACAATGAATCAATAGACAGTATCACCTAAAGAAAATTCAAACGTAGAATCAAGGGACGGAAAGACGAAGAGTTTAGACCAAAAGACGAGATATAGTTGCCGTAAGACGAGATGTGCGAATGAAAGGACGAAGAGTGTGAACCAAAAGATGGGATAGCTGTCGGAAGGCGCAGATTAGTGAAAAAGGACGATATAAACTGTCAAGAGACAGAGAGTGCGAGCGGAAAGACGATATGTAGTGGTCGAGATAGGCAGGTTGAGGACATAAGTCGGCCAATATGACGTAGGTAATTAGACTAAAGGCGAGGTGACGAGGGCGTAGGACGACTTCCATAGACCAAGATGCGAGCATAATGGTAGAGGGGCTACCTCCTATGTCCAGAAGACGAGCTCGTCTTTAGACGTCGTGACGACGTCTTTGAGGGATAGGAGAAGGTTTTCGTCTTTAGCCTTCGCGACGTCGTCGGTTGCCCAAGAGACGCAGGGCTCTCGTCGCGGGGCACCCAGGTGTCGGTATGCAGGTAAGAAATCGCTTTGTGTCGTCTGGAGCGTCTAGGGCGTCTGGGGCGCCCAGGCGTCACAAGACGAGACTTCATTTTTTGCTGATGAATGTTTTATAAAATATCAAAGCTTATTAGTTTATTCTTTGGTATCTTTTATTTTTAAAGTTTTGATTATCTATTCTTGTTCCCATAAGTGTCTATTATAATTTCATTATTATATCATGAAGATTTTTTTGAAACATTGAATTCTTACTCACTATGAATTCTTTAATCCTCTCATAAACCATACCAGTCAAGGTTGTTACCATTTTTATAGAGCTTTTATTATTGCCGGTGATTATCTCGACAGTTAAATTTATATTAGTAATGGTATTGACAGCGGCTTAATTGAAACCGGCTGACAAATTCAACATTTTATCAAAAGTACTATCTGTACAATCACTGAAGGAAATTTGATAAACCTATCAACAGCTCGAACTTTAACTTTTTCGAAAGGAACAGCCAAACTTATGTGTAATAGTTACAAAAACCGTTTAAAATCAAAACTGATGCTTACTGCACAAACCAAATGGAAATAATAATCAGAAATTCTATTTTAAAGGGTACAATAATGAATCTGATAATGGACCCATATAATTGATTTCATGAGGGAATTGAATACAGGATCCAATTTACATTTGAAGAGGATGTAGTGATTATGGTTAGATGTTTCTCCAGTTTTGATGTTCTGTCTATAGCGACCTCAACGTTTGAAAGATTAATTTTTCACTGCATGGCGACTTTCACTATTACTAACATATTTACTATTCAAACAATTCTCAGAACCTCCAAACTACCTCTCAAGCACCCGAAATAATTATCCTCTCACCTTACTATATCAGGCCCCTCAACCGGTCTACCCGACTGCAAAATACAAATGAAACCAGCCAATGTCTTTTTTTGCTCGGGATCGTAAAATATCACTCGAGAATAAATCCTCCCAGGAAAAATACTTATCCACCCTGAAAGCTCCCCGTGCAGAACACCGTACTAGGCGTAGCTGTGGTACTGCCAATATCTCAGAATCTGAGATCTGGCGGGTATACGAACCGACTAATTCCAAAGGATTATGACATTCGCTGTACCAGGGCAGAGTACGGCCCGTTGGTGAAATTGGAACAGGGGTTAGGTTGCTCTCCTCTTTTTAAACAGCACAGGCAAATGTCTTCTGTCCACTTCGCCCTCCAGATACGCTCCGATACCGAGAAACCATGACCATTCTCCGCCAGCACGCATCCACCGTCTCCCACCAGGCAAGACCCAGACGCCGGCGCAATCCAAACTGCAGCCCCACAGCACCCTCCCCCCCACCAGCTCAGGAGGGCCTGGCCTCATGACCGTGAACGGCGGCACGACCCCGCACGCACCAACAACTCCACTCAGCAACGAGGTCGGTCCCCCCGCCAAGCCAAACGAGTGACACCCTGTGATGCACCCCCGTACCCAACCCCTAACTCTCCCCGCCATTCTACCCAACGCCACAACCACCACAGGTATGCTCCCCAGTGTACCGGCGGAGCTATAACAGTGCATACGGAACACCCTCCCGAGATCCACATCGACATACCCACGACCACCACCACCGCACTACCTCAAACGACGAGCAATACCGTCCCACAACCGCCCCCCCACCTACCCACAAGACCAGAAAGCGCGATTCCCAACAACAGCAAACCAAAACACTGCCGGCCGAAGTCTTGGATCGCATGCTAATATTTGCGCGCCAGCGAGCGCTATCTCGATATCGCTGCTTGCCTTTTTAATCCGGCCAGGATATGGACCAAGTACGAAGGTACGTCACCTGTGTTTGTACCATTCGCTCCCCCTAGCAAGGGACCTGGTCTAAGGACGGGGCATGCCACTGGCCACTACTCCCCGTTAGCAGCGGATGGTTCTGACCACTCTATCCGGAATTCCTCCAATTGGCAGACTTTGAAAGATCACTGCTGTAGTGGGGAATGCTAGCTCATCGCCGATGCAAGCTGTATCCTGATAAAATTCACACCTAGTGTACAGAGATCCGAGTGTTATCCTTGATGGCATCTTATGGCCCCGGCGGTGTGAGAGACTTTCTGGAATAAAAAGATCCATCACATCTGATAGACAGCACTCTTCCTTCACTCAATTCGAACGTCAACACCACAGGAGACGAAATCTCTTCATTGCAATTGATTAACCACAGTCCTACAGTTGAAACACAGCATCAAACAAACAATCAACGCAATTGTCTACTCCACATATACCGGGCTCCTCAGCCATCCTCGGCCCCCCCTTACACCACAAACATAAACACACTACAAACACAAACACAACCCCCTCCACCGTTTACCTCAACACCTCCCCCTCCACCCCTCTCCCACCACCAACAACCGGAATCCCCGGCGACGGCAACCTCAAAAACGGCACAGTCACCCCATCCTGCCGATCATTACCCCACGCCGCCTGGGGCTCCAGAGGCCCCCAAACCCTCCTCCTCACAATACCCGTATAATCCAACTCCGGCGGCGTGAGCCACGTGTATTTCGTAAACAGCTGCGCCGTCTGCCTACGCTTCAGATACTCCTCCCGAGCGGCAGCGATCCGCGTGATGTGAACTCTGGGCGCAGAATCAATGCCACTAGGATCAGCAGGTACTGCGAGGTTGCGCAGGTAGTCGTTCTGCATGTCGGTGGTCTGCCCGGTGTTTGTGCCGGGCGGCGTGACGGGCTCAGAAGGAGAAGAAGATGATTCCGATTCTGGTGCTGGTGCTTCTGCCTCTTGTTGGCTTGAACGCTGCTGTACTGGCCGTTCCCACCTATCGCAGTAGTGCGTCACTGATCTTCTGTCCCGGTCCTCCTCTTCTTCCTCACCCTCGTCCTCAAGGATGCCGTCCAGACTCTGATTCCAGGTCGGTCCGCAGGCGTCCGTGAGCCTGACCTGGGGTTCGTCGCTGCGGGAGCGGTCAATCTCTCCCATGAGCTCACTCCACTCGGCCTCCACGTCCTGGGACGTTTCTACAGTGCCGCCGATTATATTTAAGGACCTTAACCGCTCAACCTCCTGGAACGACTGCGAAAGATTCTGGATCCGCTGCTGTAGAATATCGAGGGTACTCAAAGCGATAGGATCACCATCATGAAGGGCGTCCTCCGGACCAAATGGGATACCGTCTGTGTAGCTCTCGCTCTCCCCTTTGAATTCGTAGTCATAGAGATCGTCGTCGTTGTCGTCGTCGTCGTTGTCGTCAGATCTCGGGGAATGGCCACCACCCCCAAAAGAATCATCATGATCCTCATCACCACCACCAAAACCATTGCTACCGTGGTGCTCCTCCTCCTCCTCCTCCTCCTCCTCCTCATTAGAATCTGACTCCTCACTGTCCTCACTGTCCTCGCTGCCCCCGTTGTCCTCGTCGTCCTCCTCGTCCTGAGAACTACCACGCCCATCCTCACTCCCCGCCATACTCCCCCTCCCACTCGACTCCAAATCCTCACGATCACTCGCATCCTCCACCGGCCCATACTGCACCATCTCCCATCTCGGCGGCGGCACCACCCCCCACAAATACGGCCCATCACTCCGCGGAGACACGATCCTCCTCGGGACCGTCCAAAAGCCGTCCAACGGCGCCGCCGCCAACAGCCGATGCGGCAGCGGCTGCAGCCGCCACATCCGCTGCGCGAGCCTGCGGAAAAGGGTGATATGGGTGTCGCTGGAGATGTAGGCGATGTTGAGGTAGTTGCATGCCTCCCTGAGGCGCCTGAGCGATGCTTCCGCGGGCACGAAGAAGTGGACGCGGTGAGTGGCGGGCTGGTTGGAGAGGGCGCGGTACCGGGGGTTGCGTTGGAGGCGGGGAGGGGCGGAGGTGGCGCGGCGGGTGCGGAGGGTGAGGCCGGGGGTGGGCGGCGGGGGCGGGAGAAAGCGGGTGCCGGGGACGGGGACGGGGGTGGGGATGTGGGTGGATATGATCAGGTCGTAGATGGGGATGGTGTAGTAGGACATCTTTGCGTGTGTGTCTGGTGCTGCAGAGGTTTGGCAGCGGCGGGGAGGTTTAGCAGCTGGCTGGTGGGAGAACAGGTTATATGGCTGGAGGAAGACACGGTGTAGCTCCTGTCTACAGATCTGTCGTGAGCCTTATCAGGTGCTGTGTCTGCACATATTCTGGCCTCTCACAATACGGCCACGGTTACTGCCACCACGCGGCACAGCCTCCTCTTCGTAAAGCTGGTCTGTAGAACATGCTCTAGACAGTGGTATCCTGATGCTGTGATATTCTTGTTCCTAGAATCCCGCCAGATCACCGACTTAACACCTTGCCATTCATTGTCAAACGAGTACAAAATCCTTCGTAGTGGCGGTAGTAACACCTAGAGATATGGCTAAAGACCTTTGTGGGACTGGGCCTCCTTGTCTATTGCCGCTGGTACCTAAACAAGTCTCGTGAGACAGCATAAGGATAATTCAATCTCTCCATGAAAGGAACCATAGTGGACCTTTTCTGGCAACTCTCATGTATCGATAGAAGCATCAAATCTTTATTGAAATGCCGAGACACACTATAGAACTGTCAACTTTTATATATACATAAAACAAAAGAAAAAAAGGAACGCCCAAACTCCAAGAAGAAGGAAGCTCCCGCGTCTAACTTAAGTGAATCCCCTCCTTATTGAAGCCATACAGCAGCTTCAAAAAGTCCGCCTCATCACACTTCCCCGCCCTCTTCTCCCCCAGCTCCGTCTCCTCCAACACCTTCTCCACCTTCCTCTTGACAATCTCCGCGACCTTGCCCTTCCCCTTCCTGCTCTTCTTAACCAGCACCTTCTTCACATCCCCCATCCCCTCCTCATCCACCTCCATCTCCTCCACCTCCTCCTCGCCCCCCACCCCGCCATCCCCCATCTCCACATCCCCCTCCCCCCCCTCCTCCAGCGGCACCCCCACCGTCGCACACCACGTCCTATAATTCCTCTCCACCATCCCCATCACCGCACTACTCTTAAACCCCGCCGCAATGGTCTTATTCTTCCGCACAAACACCACCCTCAGCAGCCCATCCCACTCATCGTACGACACGGCCGGGCGCGGGCTCTTGATCTCGAGCTTGATGACCGACGACTCGACCTGCGGCGGCGGCTTGAAGTTGTTCTTGCCGACCTTCATGATGTGCGTGCATTTCGCCCACATCTGCGCGTTGACGCTGAGGCGGCAGTAGAGGGCGTCGCCGGGGCGCGCCACGAGCCGCAGCGCGAACTCGCGCTGGAACATGAGCACGCAGGTGCGGGGCGCGGGGGAGAGCGCGAGGAGCTTGAACACTAGGGGGGAGGAAATCTATCCGTCCGCCAAGAACCACGATCAGCACCACCCCCCCCCAAATCACACCCAGAGAGAGAGAGGGAGACAAACCTGATACGGCGTATTACTGATACACACATCAAAATACGGCAGCTCCGTCTTGATGCAATCGCCCAGCACGACCTCCAGCCTCTTCTGCTCGGGCCGTCCCTGGACACGCTTCGTCAGCTCCGCGGCCATCCTCGGATCCATCTCGACAGCCACCACGCGGCGCGCCTGCTCCAGTATCTTGACCGTGAGATTCCCCGTTCCCGGGCCGACTTCGAGCACAATGTCGCTCTGCTTGAGGCCGGCCTTGTCGACGATGGCCTGCGCGACGCCCGGGTTCTTCAGGATGTGCTGGCCGAGGCCCGTGTTCATCTTGAAGACGTTGTTGACGGCCTTTGTGGCAGCGGCCTTTGCGGAGGGGGTGGGTGGGGCAGGGCGGGCGTAGGGGCCCGCTGAGGTGGGGGTGGGGGTGGGGTGGGATTTGCGGGCTTTGGGCATTGCGGTTGTGGGTTGTCGGTTTCTGTGTGGTGTGGTGATAGGTGGGGATATGTGGTGAGGTTGAAGTTTTTCGCTGTCGTGGGGTAGCGTGCCAAGTGTTCAGGGCCCGCATGGTCTGTGCACTCACGGCGTGTCACTCGGTGCTCAGATGTACAGCGGTGATGTGGTGTGCTCGGTGCTCAGATGTACAGGGGTGATGTGGTGTGCGCGGTACGGGTGTGGGCGTGATCACCGTCGGTACAGTGGGATCGAAAGGGATTTCCTGTGGCAGTTGAACCGCCATCGTAACAAGAGCACGCACGCCCAAATCACACCTTAGATATATTGCTTTGACTGGACGGTATTCTCTCCCATATTGGCCACGGACAACACGGAGGACAACACGGAGGCAATGCGCCCCGACACTACTGGAATCGAGAAACCCGAAGGATGTGTAACCAAGCTTTGGGTGAGCTCTTCTCACTACGTCACTCATACCTAAACGACCTTTGCTGGCAATAGCATCCCTAGGGTCGCTAGGTATGATATCAAGAAATACAACTACCTGTTCTCTGCTACCCAGGCGTTCTACACAACTCATAGATTCCGGCACTGTATGCGGAGGTAATTATATCACCAGATATCTAGTAGGAAAACACAGATTTGTGGGTGTGGCGTGAAATGGCTACAGGTTAATTTCAGCTTTTTATCCCTTCGTCTGGCAAAAAATGCTGCCCACCCCCCCCCCAAAAAGCAAATTTTATATGTGGCTTTACTAACAGATCCCGTTATCTCTCTTATCAAATAATAGATCTCCCATACAAGTCTAATTCCTGTGTTATAGGGTGGGCAGCATTGCCAGACGAAGGGATACTCCAAGCGTTCAACGATGAATCCTGATAGCTGCATCTTACACTTGGAATCCAATTCTACACGCCCCCACAAGTATAACTATCCTGTACGCTATTAGCCGTTCCTTAACCGTTAATTCTCAACAACCAGGCCCTGACATAGAGCAATATCCTACGAATGCTTAGCCATATCCAACCATTAGGGGAAATATAGCGACACTTCCTACATATTCATCGGAATTCAAAATAATGCCCACCCACCGCTTCCGGATAGGTACAGATTTACCGCCAGCTTCCTCTTCCACAACCAAGCCACTTTCAACGCGAGACAAAATTTTCCTTTGTAAAAGAGCCACAAGCCAACCGACAGCGCGCACATCAAGCCCCTCCCCCCCCCCCACGAGATCCCAAAATCATTACTCCCATCAAAGCCGCCTCACTTTTCTCTATCTTTCAGCTCGCAAAAAACCGAAGACCGTTGTCATGAACAAAGCAAATAACCCTGACCCCCCCCCCCCAAACCACTTTCCAAAGTCACATAACCCTAACCCTATCGATAGTTTTACACCCCATGGCAGCCCATATCAATTTGACTCCTGTGGATAATCCACGCAGCTAAGCCTCTCAGCTTTATTGATGGATCTCTCGTCCGACTTCTGTTAACACATGCCTACTGTCCCAACTACGGATAACGAGTAGGGTGTAGTGATAAGCGAGTGATATCCCATGATTAGCAGCGAGTTGGCTCAGTGATCGGATGAGGTACTAGCGACGTGTACTCCCAAGCTTAGGGCGTAGAAGAAAGAGGTCGTTCCCATCGTTAACGATGAAGGTGAGAGAGATAAAAGCGCGCCAAAAACGCATGAGACCTGGATTTATATTTCGTCAGTGGTGGAGCAGAGGATTGGAGACACACATCCAACAGCGTCTCCTCCCCGATTACAACTGTAGACCAATGCCCTGTCGGAGTGGAAAATCCTATCGCAGACCCTACGTCATATCTCCCACCGGCGAACGACTTATTCAATAGCCCAACCACTCATTCTTGGCGCGAGTGATATTTCATGACTCCCTCCAGCTGGGTAACTGGACTGTTATCACCAGGACCCGTCTCTTGGTCGTTTGGTTTTGAATCCGCATACATACATGCATAAAAACGACACGGGCATCAGCGACGCCGGTACGCCCACAACGACAGCCAAGCCCAGGACGCCCTCCAACCACCCATCTATCCTTAAAACACCTTAGCTACCTCTCATCCTTCAGTCCCTTCTCTCTCCACCATTCACAACGTAAGCTCGTCTGGCAACTGTCAGCTGCCGACTTCACGCTTCCCCCTCGCTCCAACTCTGATGTTGTTTGCCACGACATCAGCTGGTCCTGTACACCCTCTCCTCCAATCTGTGTCTTAATTTACCTCAATCTGACATGTATCACCACTTTCTTCAACCTCTCTCTAATTTTCACAGTCCCGTCCTCCTCCCACAAAGAAGTCGCCTCACTAATGTTCTCGTCCCAAATCGGGCCGACCCCCGCCGCTCAGGCTCCGAACATCCCGAACTCGGCATTAGGAAAGCCAGGATGCACCGGCTCATGGCTCCCACAATCAAGCTACGGCCCGATCCCACTCTTCCCGTAAAATGTTGCCCCCGCCTCCGCACCCCATCCCATCTCCCAGTTCTAGTATCGCGTAGTTAATCTCAGAGACCTAATCTAGCGATGTGGGACCTGAACTTGACAAATAACGTTACTAATTGCCGTCCCCCAGGGCTGTCGGCAGTTCTGATCGCAGAGTTCCACGATCAGGAACTACATGTAGTCTTTTGCCACAATGCGGGGCGTAAGCTACCCCGCAAATTACCAACCAGCCTAGTCCTTGTGTCCGCAACCATCAGAAGTGACCGGTCTTCTTCGGCAGCACTCTGCGGTAGTCCGTATCAATAATTATAGATACGTGTTCACTTCTTCTGTGTTTCCGAGTTAGTAGTTTCGCTACTTTCTCCTGTCTCCAGCATAGGAAGTCCTTCAGAGAATACTAACCGCTGACACGCAAAGCATCCCACCGGAACTGACCAATATCTTCGGCTCTCGGGTCTAAAGACTCAAGAAGACCCGGTATCCTAGATATCGACACAGACTTAGATGTAAAGGCGATGTCGGCACCGGTATATCGTCCAAGGAGAAACACCCCGAGGCCTGCCAAGGTCCAACTATCCAGGCCAGTTGTGAATTTGGAACACTAGCCATATACAGCAGGTAGGATGTTTTGAACACTTGAAGAGTTCGTACCCTCACGGGAAAATTATTACCACCGCAAAATGATTATCCGAGTTACCTAAGACCTCTAGTCATTGATTTCATAATATTATATCTACTTTATACGGTTAGTAACTCCCATTTACTTGAATCTAACGATTTAGATGAATACTAGAGAGAGAAACACCGAGGATAACCGGCGCGATTTTCCTACTTTTAATACTTTCCACGGACGTCGTTATCCCTTTGTAAATTGTCATACCCAATAAGCCTTCGGAATTCTTAAACCTAGCTCGACCCAGAGGACAGGGACTGGGATAGAGCTGTTTTTCAACGAAAATGTGAGCGGGTGTTGTACCAACGGGTGCGAATTCAGGAACAACATCTGCATCCGCTCAGGTTTAGCTCCTTGTAGGTTCAAGACTTTAGAACCATGCCTTCTCGGGTATCCCCGGCCATGTCCCTGGGCACTCATTGACAGCCAGAGCTCGCATCTATATCATCCTCGGGGACCAATATTCAGCTCAGTAATTCCACAAGATTCTGAGCAGCAATCGAGGCTAAGATAGCATCTACTCTCTGATAATCACAAGCCATCGGAACTCCAAGCTCGAGAATATCGATATCGAATGTGGCCGTCATTCCACTCAGGTTCACTTTATTAGGCAACCAGCCCAGACCGCAAGGCTAACGCCAGAACGCTATATGCTTACATATCGTGCTCGTCCGAACGCTGTCAATTATTGATCTTGTGGATCTCTCTAGACCACAGGGTGAACTCAAAGCGACAGAATGGACAGTAACGCAGTTCGGAAGAGCCCGTTTACCATATCGCGTGTAGTCATTCATTGCCATCTTTTCTGGCCACTAGAATGGTGATAGAATGTCGTAGGTAATAAGGTATTCACATTCAGCAACGCCTTTATTTGACTGGCGTATCCGGAATTGTTTTAAAATCGACGTTGAATCTGGAACCCAGTATGCGGCGGATTTCATAACCCCGACCCCACGGGATCCAGTTACTCCCGCGCGCCAAGGGCCAATGATCATAAAAATGTATTTTTTTTACCTCAATTTCTCGTCGGCCTAGGTCTCACACGTCATTAGCCATGAACCAACACTTCTACTTCCCGGACTTTCTATTCTCTCCAGGCTTACCTATTCTTTCCCAAATGGATCACCTTTACCGCGGCCTCAACCCCCGCCATTGGTACTAATGGGAGAGAATAGATACACCTTGAGAGAATAGAAAATTCTGGCAGGTCATCATGCGATACCACGGGAACGAGGGCTTACACCATCGGATTAGAGTTCCTTCAGATGACTTCCATGGCCATACGTATAGTATACTCCAACAGCTTCTCGATGGATTTCAGTCTTTCCCACGCAATAATACCGGGCATCCGAATCAAAACCTAGACATACACGAACATTCACCCCAATATACAAACGCGGAGAACCTTTTTCACTGTATTTTAAAGCAAACCCTCTCAAATGCTCCTGCCAGCTCTAGAAACATCATGGGTTGTTGATGAGCATGAGATGGCGTCCGGAATTCCTGGCAGGACAAATCCCAGGACCTAACGAGTCCTATTTGCAGTTTCAACAGGACTAGATTTCGCGGGATAAGACCTCAAAATCTCGTGATACACTCCAGCACTCATGGTGATCTATAAACGTTTTCAGTAAGGCTTTATAGAGTTTGTAACATATCATTACCGTGTGAGTTCTAAACCTATTCATCTTGAGTATGGGTCTGCTACTCTTAAGCCGCATTCTCTATCAAGTATAGGATACCGATAAGCTATAGTAGCCAGGGTTGGGTTTCAACTGTCGACATGCTCTAGATATTATTGAAACACTTGATCATAGTGTGATCTGTTGTTCTTATTCAGAAATCGTTTGGAACAGATA